GACTTTATGCCAGCTACCAGTACAGTTACTTGTACTGCTAGGTCTGAAACAGTGAAAGCTTATAGCTATATTTGGTTTAGAATGAGGTAGCTTAAAAATCTGGCACACTGGATTGAGACGAGAAGCATGTATTTGTAAATTAGGTCTACTGCTGCCATGGGCTTTAAGTATATTTTTGTCCTGTAGGGTTTAAACCTGCTTTTACTTTCTTCAAAAGCTTCTGTGCTGACTTAGCCTTCTTCCATTGCAGCTTCAGTATATTCAGCCTATGTGACTGATTCTGTGATCTGACATTTTTTTTTTGGAAGTAACAAATCAGTGTCCATTTCACACCTTAAATGTGATTGTGCGAACAGATTTGTCTTGGCTCTTTCTTCATTTTGAGGGTAGTGAGACACTGGCACAGGTTGCCCAGAGAAGCTGTGGATGTCCCATCCCTACAGAGTTCAAGTCCAGGTTGGATGGGCTTTGAGCAACTGGTCTAATGGAAGGTGACCTGACTTGGGGGGGGGGGGGAGGGGGGGAATAGGGGATGGAACTAGGTGATCTTGAAGGTCCCTTCCAACCCAGATCATTCTGTGATTCTGTGACTGACTTAATAGGTCAGATAGGTTCTTTGCAGGCTTCTGTATTCTGTTTGCATGAAGGCATGACCATTGCAAGGCCTAATACAGTTTTGGTATTACTTTATTGGTTTTGTGTGTCCTTTTCTTAACAGTGAATGGCTGTTAATTTATTTGTATTCATCACCTATAATTAATTTAACTTCTCCGGGTGTGGTTAAAGTGTGCAATTTCTTTTAAACAGCATCTCTACATGTATTACATGTAGATGCATGTACCTGCCTTTCATCTTCAGTGTAGAATGACTACAAAATACTGAAGCTCACACAGAAGAATTGTTACCCCTGTTCACGTAAGACAAATGATCACATACTTACTTTGGAATGTTGTAGAAAACCTAGGTATTTAAAAATCTCATTTCTCAGAACTTCTCTAATACAAAATGAAATTACCTATTCATTACATGCTCTCTGCTGTTTTTATTTCCTTATGATCATCAAAGGTTCAGTTCTTTGTATTCAGGATGAAAATTGTTGATTAAAGGTGTAAAAGGTGACGGTAATTAGGGTTGTGTTGTATGCTGAAGTTAGTGTAATTCATAACAGTTTCTTATATGACAGTGCATGTTAAAGCATGCATTTGCAAATTTGGCTCATATTAAATTGCAGTTCATTTTTATACACAATTTTACAGAGTATGTGCTTTAAAAATGTCATTGAAGTATTCTGGGTAATAGTGCTCAGGTTTTAAGTGGGAAATGTATAAATGCCATTCTGCTCATCAGGTTTTGGTGAGCTGATTTTAATGCCATGCTAGGTTAGATGTTTTATACAGATGTATGTGCTCTGTATTGCATATATTCGTGTCGTGGCTTAAACCCAGTCAGACAGCTTGTTCACTCACTCCCAGTGAGTGGTGCCGGGCTGGAAGTCGAGGCCTGTGTCCCAACCCCAGGGGCTCCCCCCCTTCCCCGCTGCCAGAGGGATGGGGAGGAGAACCGGAAGAATGCAACTCCCACGGGTTGAGATAAGAACAGTCCAGCAACCAATGTACAACACAAATCAGAACCGCTACCACCAATGACAACAATGATAAGAGAAAATAACAAGGGAAGAGAATACGATACCACCCGCTGAAAAAAAAAACCAAGTCCGACCCAGAAGACCCCCCCGTTCTTCCGGGTCACTCCCAGTTACATCCTGGGCACGACGTGCTGTGGCATGGAATACCTCTTTGGTCAGGTTGGGTCAGGTGTCCTGTCTCTGCTTCCTCCCGGCTTCCCCTCCTCCCTGGCAGAGCATGAGGCTCACAAAGTCCTTGGCCAAACCAAAACATCATTGTTATCAGCTCTGTTCCCAGCTCGAAAGTCAAAACACAGCACTGCACCAGCTGCCAAGAAAGAGAAAAAAATGACTGCTACTGCTAAAGCCAGGACAATTCGTGAATGTGAAGTTCTTGCATTCAACTGTGGTAAAACCAAATTCACTGCTTCCCCACATTGTGTTTTCAGACAGTAGATTATTACAAAATAAACCAGCATAGTGTTCAGCTCTTTTGTGACAAATGGGTATGCCTTTTTGGTACTGTATTGCAGGAGATTATAACAATGTGGGTAATTTTGAGTCTTCATAAATAGGGGACACTTTTTGTTTGCGGTTTTGGTTTTTCTTTTTTCCTTAATTTAATGTAATGCAAGAGCATAAAACCGCATCCTTTGGCTGTTGTCACAAAGTGGTGCATATATATCCATGTTTCTTACAGCACTCTTATTCAAGATTTAAGTGGTCATAATTTTTTTTTTCTTTCTAAAACTAGACTTGTTTCTATACAGAGTTTTAATACAGTTTAGATGATTAATCTAAATGTTAGTTTATCGAAGCTTCTCCAAGTGTCTTCATATTCCAGTTCATATCTCCAGTTCACCCAAAGATATAAATATCTTAAGTATAAAGGAGCAGTTCCTCAGTTCATTGTTGAACATTTTTCTGGCGACATTTAAAACAGATCAGGTGATTTCCGTGTGTTCAGTTTGTATTTTTACAGTGTTATATCTGTCACTTCAGTAACGGCGTGTGTGATAAGAAAGTTACCCGAGTTCCTAAACGTTTTTTGATCTTCATTTGAATTTAACAAGCATCCAGATATCTGCCAGCCTTAAAGTAGTGCATGAGGTACTGACAAAATTGCACAGTGAAATGTTTCTTGCAAGCGTTGTGTTTTACTAAACATTTTCCAGCATGAGGCAGCTGCAAATTCATCAAAACTGCTGCACCTAACCTCTAGGCAATTGAATGCATATATTTAGCTGTAGAGTTCCAGTAATGAATGTAAAGTAATCTTAGGGGGCAGTTGTTATTTTCAAAATATATAGTGATAACAGCTTCTGTAGCCCTTGGAAAAGAATGAAGACGGTGTTTCCTTCTCACAGGAAAAGAATGTTTATTCTCATTACTCCAGTCCCTGCATGCTCTTGTAAAAAAACCCTTCTAGATCTATTGTAGCCCCCCTTAAGGTACTGAAAGACTGTTGTAAGTTCTCTCTGGAGCCGTTTCTTCTCTGGGCTGAACAACTCCAACTCTCTCATTCTGTCTTCACAGAAGAGGTGCTCCATCTGGCTGAGCATCTTTGTGGCCCTCCTCTGGACTCTCTCCAACAGGTCCACATGCTTCTTATGTGGAGCCCCAGAGCTGGATGTTGTACTCCATGTTGGGGTCTCATGAGAGCAGAGTAGAAGGGGAGAATCACCTCCCTCTCCGTGTTGGTCTCACTCCTTTTGATGCAGCCCAGCTGCATCAAAAAACTGTTAGCTTTCTGGGCTGTAAGCACATGCTGCCGGCTCATGTTGAGCTTCTCATCAGTCAACACCCCAGGTCTTTTTCTTCATGGCTGCTCTCAGTCCACTCTCTGTCCAGCCTGTAGTTGTGCTTGGGATTGCAGGACCCACATGCAGGACCTTGCACTAGAAGTTCATGAGGTTCACACAGGCCCCCCTCTCAATTGTGCCAAGGTCCCTCTGAATGGCATCCTTTCACTCCAGCATGTTGATCACACCACTCAGCTTGGTGTCATCAGCAAACTTGCTGAGGGTGCCCTTAATCCCTTTGTCCATGTCACTGACAAATGATGTTTAACGTCAGCAGTCCCAGTACTGATCTCTGACCAACACCTCTTGTCACTGGTCTCCAGTTTGGCACTGAGCTGTTGACTGCAACTCTTCAGGTGTGACTGTCCAGCCAATTCCTATCCACCGAATGGTCTATCCATCAAATTCTTGTTTCTCCAGTTTAGAAGTAAGGTTGTTGTGTGGGACAGTTTTGCTCAAGTCCAAGTGGATGATGTCAGTTGCTCTTTTCCATCAGTGCTGTAGCTCTATTGTAAAAGGCCACCAATTTGTCGGGCACAATTTGCCCTTAGTGAAGCCATGTTGGCTATCACCAATCACCTCCTTATTTTCCACATGCATTAGGGTGGTTTCCAGGAGGAACTGCTTCATGATCTTGCCAGGCACTGAGGTGAGACTGACCAGCCTGTAGTTCTCCTTTTTAACCTTTTAAAAATGGTGATTATGTTTCCCCTTTTCCAGTCAGTGGGAACTTCACTGGACTGACATGACCTCTTAAATTTGATGGACAGTGGTATAGGCACTTCATCCACCAGTTCCCTCAGGACCTGTGGATGCATCTCATCAGGCCCCATGGACTTGTGCACTTTCAGGTTCCTTAGATGGTTTCAAACCTGGTCTTTTACAGTGGGTGGTTCTTAATTCTCCCACTCCCAACCTTTGCTTCCTATGACTTGGTTAGTGTGGCTGGAGCTCTTGCTGGTGAGCACCAAGGCAAAAAAATTATTGTGTACCTTGGCCTTCTCCATGTCACTGGTAACCAGGTCTCCTGTTTCCTTCTGTAGAGGGCCCACATTTTCCCTGGTCTTCCTTTTGTCAAAAACATAACTATACAAGCTTTTCTTGTGGCCCTTGATGTCTCTGGACAGATTTAATTCTACTGGGGCTTTAGCTTTCCTAACCTGATCCCTGACTGTTTGAACAGTTTCTATGTATTCCTCCCTGTCCTTGCTTCCACCCTCTGTAGGCTTCCTTTTTGTGTTGGAGTTTGTCCAGGAGCTAGTTGTTCATCAGTGCAGACCTCCTGGTGTTTTTGCCTGACTTACTCTGTGTTGTAGTATGCATTTTACTTTCTGTTCTTGCTTGGCTTATGAATTAGTGTTAATGTTGAATCTGGAAATAGAAACCGGAAAACTTGAAACCTTGTTCAAACTCAGGACTTGAAACATTGTGAAGGTTGTGCAAAAATATAATTGCATTCTGAATATACATTTAAAATTTGTATTTTTTAACGACTTCTTAATGGAAAACTTTATTCAGTTATAGAGAATTTCTTATTTTCCTTTTGGATTAACTAGTGTATTCTTCCATTTCAGAATGTATGAAAACATGTCCACAATGGTGTATTTAAAGGAAGAGAAGTTGGAGAAGCTCACTCAAGATGAAATCATCGCCAAAACTAAGCAAGTGATCAATGGACTAGAGGCACTGAAGAATGAGCACAATTCAATTTTACAGAGCTTACTTGAAACACTGAAATGTTTGAAGAAAGATGACGAAACTAATCTGGTTGAGGAAAAATCAAACATGATTCGGAAGTCACTGGAAATGCTGGAGCTTGGCCTTAGTGAAGCACAGGTAAAACTGCAGTAATAAAGTATTTCACTTTGAGGACTTAAGATTTGCCTTACTGAGTATTAGTTATGTGCTGGGACATTTATGTTGTTATTGTTGGGACATTTATGTTGTTATTGTAAGTTAAGGAAAAAGACTGCTGTAATTAGTAGAGGTAGACACTATTTGTCTTGCTGTGTTACAGAACTAATTATGCATTCAGCATTACAGCACTGAGGCTCATAATTGAGCCCTCATTAGACAGTGGCTATTTGCTGTTTAGACTTTTCCACAGCATTAGGCAGATAATGTTTAAGCAACTCAAGAACTGAGCTTTGGCATTTTAACTCTAAATTATTGCATATGTAGGTCTCCCACACACAAATAAATTTGCTCCAACCTTTGAGCTCTGCTGTAACTTTAAATTCATGTTTATATTCTCTTGATTCTGAGATTCTTTATAATAGCTTACAGTGCTCCTGGATCTCAAGAATCTCTTAATATTACTGAATATTTTACTAAACCAAAATTGAATCTATAAAAGCATTTTAAAGGTTGAGAATTGAGTATACAATGTAAGTTTCACTCTTAAAGGACTCCTTCTTTGGACTGTCTTAGTTGATGAAGGTATTGTCTACAGAAGATGAGTGAAAATATGTTTGTTTAGTCAGGATGTTAGGAGTGTATTTACAGTCCAACTTTAGGGTATTTTGTACTAGGTCAAAAACCTGAAACCTGATGTGATGCAACACAGTCATCAGTATAAAATGGCAGAGTGTTTGCAGATGAGTTGAAAATGCCAGTGAGTCAGCCCTATATTAATAGGCTTTATCTTTGTAACTGCTCAGTCTTTTCATCGAGCTGTTGAGCTATTACTGTTTGGTGATCTGAAGTTGTTTGGATTGGACCATGATGAATTGAAGCCTGAGAGAATGAACAAGTATGGGTTACCAGCCCTGGCAATGTAGAAAAAAACCCTAGACATTATGGTGCAAATTAGGTCATTTTTTATTAGTATAGTATGTAAGTCTTTATCCCTTCTATTGGAATAAAATAACTAGAAGAGATATGGAATAAAATTACAATAGTAGAGTTACCTTTAGTGGATGTTCGTAGAAGATCTGTGAATGAACAAGTAACTTGTCTCCTAATTTTGACATGGTATTGGGACTTTGAAAAAGATAGTTCTGATTCTTGGCTCTGTTGGATTCAGCAGCTTCAGTTGCAGATGTTCCTGCCTAGTTTGGCCCACATGGTGTTTTATGAACTGTGATGGTGAGGAGCCAAGAAGTCTGCATTTAGTGCCTTTGTTAGGAAGCAATTCTTCAGACTGCTACACTCAAACCTGATAAACCTACCCTTCCTGCACACTTCGGGTTGCAACAATGTAGGATTTTTTTATTATTATTTGCAGTATTTAAATCAGACATGGAAATGCTTTAAAGATGTTTTTTGTGACATGGACGTAGGTCTGATGATATGAGTGTTATTTCTGTAAAAATGAAACAGACATTGCTGAAGAAGCAGTCAAACTTTCAGTTAATTCTAGAGAGTAAGATTACAAAGGGGTTTAGTTTGCCGTTGTAGCTTGTACAGTGTTGAGTATGTTGACCCCATTATCACAACTCTCCTAAATATACTTTCTGATGTTAAAAATGGCCACTGTTTGAATAGAACAGGTAATTTAAATTATTAACAATTCTAAATGTGTAAATAGTAGGTGCTGAAGTCTGGAGACTTGGATTGGTATTAGGAATAATATATGGAGTTTTTGCCTTTATAGGGAAAAGTAGTATCTAAAGGTTTCTTGTGTTTTTTCTGACAACGGAAATTTCATGTAAGGACACCACCTGTTTCACATGAAATATTTAGCTTAAAAACACTTTGAGGTAACTTTGTTTTAAAGAAACATGAAATGCTAAATAACTTCAGGATTCCAGATTCATCTAAAAGAAGATTTGTATTATTGCCAATGACTGTTTCTTACAAGGTGTGCTTCCTGGGATTGCTGTGAGCTGTTCTACGTGTATCAGTGGGAGATTACATAAACAGTGAAGTGTCTTCTGTATGTAGTGTTTGGCTTTCACTTAACAAGTGTCTTTTTCATTTAACTTTTCTTAGCAAAAGAGCCCAATCCAAGTAGACTACTTCTGTGGCTGTTCTATTTTCTGTCCTTAATGTGACTGTTCAAACACATTGAATGTCTGCACACTCAAGCTTATCATAGGTGTATCAATAAAGTCCTTATATAAATTGTATGTTCAGTTGCACATTTAGGTCTCGGTAGTATAATTGTTCTTTTGAAGTATTATCATGCTGAAATGTTCATCCTTATGAGCTGTAAGCATGTATATGAATCCTTTTTCATCTGAAAGCTGCTGAATTAGAACTCTGTCTTAGTTCTTAGGTTATTTTTGTGATCCTTCAAGTTGGAGGTGTTACTGCTCCATTTGATGCTAATGGAAAAAAGATTTCCATTTCAGTAATCTAGTTCAAATTTTTCATGTATTTTAAGATTATGTATTCAGGGAGTTCCAAAACAATTTGTCTTCTGGTAGCATCATAGAAAACAATCATTAATAAAGAGTTCCTCCAGGTTAATTCTGGCTGGGCAGATGGTAAAAAGTTGAGAGGAATAGTGAGATAAAGATAGCGATAAAACCAGATAGCTGAAGAAGGGAAACTTAAATGTTCACCAAATTTCACAGCTGACAGGTTTTTAAATAATAAAAGTTTTTTTTATTAAATACAAGACTGCATTCTAGAGGAATTGTCATGTGACACCTTTTGCTTTTTAGGTAATGATGGCCTTGTCAAATCACTTAAATGCAGTGGAATCGGAGAAGCAGAAATTGCGTGCTCAGGTTCGTCGGCTATGCCAGGAAAACCAGTGGCTACGGGATGAACTAGCCAATACACAACAGAAACTACAGAAAAGTGAGCAGTCTGTGGCTCAGCTGGAGGAAGAAAAGAAACATCTAGAATTCATGAATCAATTAAAAAAATATGATGATGATATTTCACCATCTGTAAGTAGCTGTGTAATAAAAAGCCCCTTACATGTACATGTGTGTTGTAATCTGCCTTTTAACCAAGAAGTGTTGCAAGCTTTTTATTTCTGTAACATAAACTTGTCATGAAAATGCTTACCTTCTACCAGGGTCACATAGTTTGCAGAAAGATTCTGAATACTGAGTTCATTCTTATTTTAAGAGAATAAATGTTTCTCTGTCTGTAGATAACAAAATACATATGAGAATCAAAATCCATAAATACTTATATAGGATTATATTAGCTTAAAAAATATGAAGAACTAAATAAAAATTTCTTTCTGTAAACTCAACAATTAAAATAAGTGGAGAATTTAAACTATTAGAAATTCTAAGTACATAGAGGGCATGGCTTATTTTGACTGCAAGAGAAATGCTTAATTTTCGTCTAGTGAAATTAGTGTGCGGGTTTTATATCTGTTGATAATTTATATCAGGATAGGATGTTACTGGATGACTTTCTGCCAGACACTGTGATGGTCTGCATGTTTTCAGTCGTGTTTAATCCATTGTGTTACATAGACTTAGATTCAGAGAGAAAATGGATACAATTTTAATTTATAGAAGTAATTTACCACTTAAAAAGACTTCTGGATTCTTTGCACTTCTTGTTACCCTTTTATGTTTCCTTAAGTTAGATGGCACTGTAGAGAGAGATCTCATTTTGTATGTTTAGACCTATTCAGCTGTGTTTTGGAAAGAATAGGTTTTTTGTAACCAGTTATTTCAGCAATGTAATGATTGAAAATGTATGTGTTTGTCACGCTTAACTGACTGCTTGATGAATCCTTTTTAATATATTGTGAGCAGTGAGAGTTGTTTTGGCACATGGAACTTTTTGGTGTTATTTCATGAGTTGGCATTTGTAGCTGAATACTGCCAGTGAAGCCTGTTTAGAAAAGGGGTGGGAGGAGGGAATATTGTGATTTTGGTGTGCTAACTGTTGAACTGTAATCTGCAGATGGCCTAAATAGCGTCATTATTTGAAGTTTAATTGGCAAATAGGGTCACCGTAAGCAAAGTGTCTTTATAGTTTCACTAACCATATGGACAGTCTCGCTTGTTAACCTTTGAAAATAGTCAATTCTGTATGCTCAGTGTAAGGCTGGAATCAGCACACGTAACGTTATGAACTTCCCTTTTGAGATCTAGTCCCATTAATCTGCTGTTTTTGCAGAGCACACACTTTGCTACCACTGAACTCAAATGCCAGTAGCTGCAGTTGTCTTTTTCTCTTGGATGAAGAGCAGAAAAATGGGAGTGTGTTCTGCTTCTGGGCTTTCTTCTTACTGAGATTAACTTTTCTGAGGACTTCAACTGTTTATATTGTGTTGAATCCACATTTAAGAAGCAGAATTGAGAGATGATCTGTTTCTTTAATTTTAAATGATGTGGAATGATCTTTGGATGTTTAATCAATGTAGACTAATGGATTGTGCAGAAGTTAATATGGTTCCAAATGAACACTATAGGAGATGAACTTCCATGCAGGGGGCTTTATAGTTTTTGATCCTTATAGATTGCAATTGCAAAACCTATTTTTTTGTGCAGAAGTTGAGCAGTCAGGAATTGAGGTCTCCGTTTCTCTCCCTTGCCCATCTGTAACTGTGGTTATGACTAAAAATATACAATATTCAGTATTTAGTAGCACTGGATCTATATTCAGCACTGGATACTTTCATGAGGTATGATGTCTCTGTAAGAGTAGCAGATGTGTTCTTGTGTGTTTAAATTGAGACTGAAATCTAGGAGACCTTATTGCTATTCCTGTCTCTTCTGAAGGTGTCCTGTATTGTTTGGGACAGAGTATGTAAATACATTTGAACATAAAACCTTCATAGAACTTTTAGAAGAAGTGTTACTCTTGTATATTCCTAAGTTTTGGATGTGCGGTTTTCTTTAACATTGCTGATTAAATGGACTGTCTCTTCATGCCTTAGATTTAAGTGTAACAGTTTGGCTTTGGGATTGTTCTATAGGAGGATAAGGATACGGATTCCACCAAAGAGCCTTTGGATGACTTATTTCCCAATGATGAAGATGACCAAGGACAAGGAAGTAAGTGCACTTCAAATTGCAGTGTTAGTGGGCTTCTGCAGTGCAGAAAAATGAACCCATGTTTAGGGTCCTCTGGGACACATGGAGTGGTGAATGCCTCTGCTAGAATAAGGAAGCCAGTCACTGATATGTACAGAACTGGGACTTTGGTTTTTGCATAGAATTTACTGGCTCTTGTAAAGTTCTTGGCACTGACCCTGATGAAGCTCTAGAGGGTGGGGGGCCCAAGACTGCTGGTAGGTATTCAAGGATCACCTACTACAAGCTCAGGAGCGTTGCATCCCAACTAGAAGGAGGTGCAGCAGGAGGGCCAGGAGACCTCCTTGGATGGATAAGGAGCTGCTGAGGAAAATCTGAAGAAAAAAAGAGGCTTATAAAAGGTGGAAGCAAGGACAGGCGGACTGGGAAGAAAACAGGAATGTTGTCTGGGAAGCTAGGGACCAGGTTAGGAAAGCTAAGGCCCAGTTAGAATTAAACTTGGCTAGGGATGTTAAAGATAACAGGAAGGGATTCTATAGGTATGTAGCAAATAAGACAGATTAGGGACAATGTAGGCCCCCTATGGAAGCGATCAGGAGAACTGGCTACCCTGGATTTGGAGAAGGCTGAGGTTCTGAATGACTTCTTTGCCTCTGTCTTCACTGGCAAATGCTCTTGACCACACCACCCAAGTCTTGGAAGGCAGACACAGGGACTGTGAGAATGAAGACCCTAGGCCCACTGTAGAAGAGGGTCTGGTTCGAGACCATCTGAAGAAGCTGAACGTGCACAAGTCCACTGACAAGACCAGTCAGTCTCATCTGTGTGCCTGGCAAAATCTTGGAGCAGATTCTCCTGGAAGGCATGCTAAGGCACATGAAAAACAACAAGGTGCTTGGTGACAGCCAGCATGGCTTCACCAAGGGGAAATCCTGCCTGACCAATTTGGTGGCCTTCTATGATGGGGCTACGGAACTGATGGCCAGGGGTAGAGCAGTTGCTGTCATCTACCTGGACTTGTGCAAAGCGTTTGACACTGTCCCACACGGCATCCTTGTCTCTAAATTGGAGAGACATCAATTTGATGAATGGACCACTCAGTGGCTAAAGAACTGGCTGGATGGCCACACACAAAGAGTTGTGGTCAATGGCGCAGTGTCCAGATGGAGACCAGTAAGGAGTGGTGTCCCTCAGGGATCAGTGTTGGGACTGGTCTTCTTTAACATCTTTGTTAAAGGACTTGATCCTGCCCCTCTACTCCGCTTTCGTGAGACCTCACTTGGAGTATTGTGTGCAGTTCTGGTGTCCCCAACATAAAAAGGACATGGAACTGTTGGAGCAAGTCCAGAGGACGGCCATGAGGATGGTCAGGGGACTGGAGCACCTCCCGTATGAAGGTAGACTGAGAAAGTTGGGGCTGTTCAGCCTGGAGAGGAGAAGTCTGTGTGGAGACCTCATAGCAACCTTCCAGTATCTGGAGGGGACCTATAGGAATGCTGGGGTGGACTCTTCATTAGGGACTGTAGTGATAGGACAAGGGTTAATGGGTTAAAACTTAAACAGGGGAAGTTTAGATTGGATATAAGGAGGAAGTTCTTTCCTGTTAGGGTGGTGAGGCACTGGAATGGGTTGCCCAGGGAAGTTGTGAATGCTCCCTCCCTGTCGGTGTTCAAGGCCAGGTTGGACAGAGCCTTGGGTGAGATGGTTTGGTGTGAGGTGTCCCTGCCCATGGCAGGGGGGGTTGGAACTTGATGATCTTAAGGTCCTTTCCATCCCTAACTCTTCTATGATTCTATGACCCCAGTTCAAAATTTGTCCCACAGTCTTTCCTGTGGGCCTCTGTATGGAAAAGGTTTGGTGCAAGTGACTGAGACAGATTCTGAAACACTGAAGCTTTTTGATGGTCTGATCAGATGAAGGATTCTGTTAATGACCTTTTTAATTATCTGATTTAACACTTTGGGCCAGGTTTCAGTATGACATCTTTCTCATATAATATTTTGTCCTTTGCTGAGGTTTTCTTCCTTAGTTTTGCTACTCATTCTAGAAGTGTTGTCTTCTGGTCAGGACTTGAGAATATGCTCTGAAGTTTGAGGTAGAGGTGTGGTAGCACGATTGAGAGAAACCATTTATAGATAAGCCTTGCTTAGTGAAATTTTGGGGGTTTTACAGGTGTAAAGCTGGTATTATATAATGTATTGATATTATAGTGTATAGGCGGTATGCTAATAATGTAATGGTTCTCAGTAGACAAGTGACTGCAGAAAAAAATGTCTGAAGGGTCCCGCCTGTGTAATCACTTTCAAATTTCCTTTACGGGCACATACACAAAATACACTGCATTCGTCATAGCATGGTAATGCTATCCATAGTCAACAATGGAAGGAAGACTTGGAAGAGTTAGGATAGGTTAGTGTTGACCATGAGCTCCCTTCTGAGCTCATGCTTGCTTCACTAGAATTTTGTAGTAGGAAGTTTGGATGGCAACGCTGTCTGTGTACCTGCATAATCCATCTACCTTATTTCAAAGTTGATCTGTAAGTAATTTTCTTGACCTCCAGGAAAAATACTGATGCTCCAGTGCTTTGGTAGGAAGTGGTAGTAGGTGTAGGCTTGGAATTGTATGATGCCGCTGACATAAAAAGGCTCCCACTTGAGGTGAGAGTGTTTTTTGTCCATAGAAAGAAGAAAGTCAGGCTCATGGCTGGAGCCCTTATCCTGTGTGTTGTTTAGAATTCAATGCAAATGAGTAAGAGGGAATTTTCTACGTTGTCCCAGAAATCTCCCAGAGGAAGAGAAAAGCGGTAGTAGATTTGGGAGGGGGAGGCGGGGTAAAGGAGGGAATTGGAGCCTGGTGGTTGCAACAACCAAAGGTTAGGAGCTTCTGGAAAACAAGTGACTAAGCCTGAAGGTTAGTAAGTAAAACCTAAAGGTTTTACTTAGTGTCACTGGCCTTGACTTGATGCCTTTTCTCTTGCAACTGTTACTTATGGCATGCAAGATCTTTTAATCATTTATGTGCCAACCTTAAGTACTCTTTGATACAGCAAAAAAGGGAAACGCACAAAAAAAAAGGTATGTTTAGAGAAGAATAAAGGAAAAAGGACAAATAGTTGGAGCTTTTCTGCAGGTATTTGGCTTGTCTATGTTAATGTTCCTTTCCATAGGGAAACATGGATATTTTTACGTGCAAAATTATGATATAATCTTGGGAATTGATAATGATTTGCTGAGCTGAAATAGTTTCCTGCTTTCTTCTCTGATTTATTACATTTGGGACTTTGAGCTAATAGAAGTGTAAAATAACACAGTAATGGACAGAACGTAAGTAACTGTCATAGTTTCACTGTCACTGTTGAAGACAGCGTGATTACTGTGAAGTATATTCTAATACTTTATAAAATTCAGTCTCATTTTTTGTCACTGAGCAGTAATGCTAAATGCTTTAGTTACAGTCATCTTTTAAATGTTTTTAAATCTTGCATGTTTCTTTCAGTTCAACAGCAGCATAGCAGTGCAGCAGCTGCTGCCCAGCAAGGTGGCTATGAAATTCCAGCAAGATTAAGGACCCTTCATAATCTTGTCATTCAGTATGCTTCCCAAGGTAGATATGAGGTTGCTGTACCTCTCTGTAAACAAGCTCTTGAAGACCTAGAGAAGACTTCAGGTCATGATCATCCTGATGTTGCCACTATGTTGAACATACTTGCTTTAGTGTACAGGTTTGTATACTGACATAGATAAATATCAATTAACTAAATAATATTTGGCTACAACCTGTTAATGTTCAGACTAACATTTTTTGACTATTTTCCATTCCCTTTTTTTTTTTAAATTGAAACCCTTGTGAGGGTCCTGCAGTACTTATATGTATCCGTATGCTTAAAAGCCTGTGCCTTTTCTTTGGAAGTTAAGCTGGTTTTGATACCGTTTTTCTTTTTTTGTCTTTTGGGGCATCTTGTCTTGATTACTCACTTCCAGATAATCTAGAGGAATAAACTGGACAACAGTGTAGCAGTAGTATATGTTAGTCCTGAACCAGCGAACTATTTCACAGTTACAAGCTTCATGTTTTTACTTCCCAATTCCTGAATATATTCTCAATTACTCTTCTTTTGCACTAGGATCTTTAGGCCAATACTGAAGTCAGCTTTGTTTTTATGATTTCTTTTTCTGAATCTGTTTTTTTTTCTGTGTTAATTATGACTCTTTAAAATTTAGAGACCAAAACAAATACAAAGATGCAGCGAATCTCCTGAATGATGCCTTGGCTATACGTGAGAAGACTTTGGGCAAAGATCATCCAGCGGTTTGTATACATGCAATATTGTATTTTCAGTTGTGTTTTTCACTGAATTTTTTTTCAACTCATTTTAATATTAAACTCAACAGGAAAGTTTTTAAGACCTGGCTTATCTCTAGACAGTACAGGTAGGAGGCCACAATGTAACATGCTTCATTTTCTCTTAAATATTTAACATGCCTTTTGAGCATTATATTCAATGCTGTTTCACCATAAATGACTCTCAGACATTTGATTTTGGATTGCATGGATTTTCTGTGGGAAATCAATTTGTGAAGAAAGATTTTAATTTTCTTACTCAAATCACTTCATAAAAGTCATATTGAAGGGATCCTTCTAATTTGTTTTATGGCTGCTTTTAAATGATACTTAAATCAAGCTTTTAGAATCGGTTTTTAAAATTAATGTGGTATCTCGCTTCATGTACCCTGTGTGACGCAGGGCAGCTCTGAATATAGATCTGAGAAATAACTTGTAAGAGAAGAACATATGAAGAAAATGTGTGCACTAAATGACATTTCCACAAATGAAGCAAAACTATTTCATGATTTTTTTCCCTTTCCTTGTTTGTGTATGAATGCATTCGATAGTAATTATTTCTTCATTTGCAAATCCCAAGAGGTCCACCTTGTGCATGGAAAACTTGAAAATGTCAATGCATTGCAGATGTATATCGTCACATCAGTAGATTCCAGTGTAATTCTCTACTGTTGACAGGTGGCAGCAACTCTAAACAATCTTGCAGTACTTTATGGTAAACGCGGAAAGTACAAAGAAGCTGAACCGTTGTGTAAGCGAGCTCTGGAAATCAGGGAAAAGGTATGAGTAGAAGAATTCATCACTTCTGAATGGATTTTTTTGAGGGAGAGAGCAAGGCTAAGCTTGTTGGTTTTTTTTTTTTTACTTGTTTTTTGTTCTGGTTGAGTAGATCTGCCAGGTAAACCAGAGTTATCAGTGCCCTAGTAGGTGTGTGAAATTCAAAACAGTTGCACATTCAAGTAGTCCTATGGAGCTGTTGGAGCACTCTGGGTATATTGTAAATTCTGTATTTTGTAGTTAAACTTCTTTCACTTTTTCTTTCCCCTTTGATAGTTAAGTAATCATGTGACAAAAGCTTTGAAACTAAAAATGAAACATCATTAAAATGTTGAAGTTGATTATTCTATGACTCTGTGGATATTTATTCCAATCCATGACACTGAATGCCTGCATCCTCAGGCTTTGTGTAATACTCTGCATATCATGTTGTTCTGCTACTTGTATTATTCCTGTTATGAATTGTCGTGCAGCATTCTCAGTTCTTAATAGAATTGAGTAATTTTCAGATCTCTCAAATGCAATTTTTCTTCCATTATCCTTATGTTGAATTGATGAGGAATAAAAACTAGCGGCGTATTTCTAAATGATGCATTTGTAAACCCGGATAAGATGATTGGAGAATGTTTTAATACAAGTTATTTAATTTTCAGGTCCTGGGGAAGGATCACCCTGATGTTGCTAAACAATTGAATAACTTGGCTTTACTGTGCCAGAACCAGGGTAAATATGAGGAGGTTGAATACTACTATCAGAGGGCACTGGAAATTTACCAGACCAAGCTGGGACCAGATGATCCAAATGTTGCAAAAACAAAGAATAACCTGGTAAGACTTTTATAGAGTAAATCTGAGAAAAAAAGCAAGATTTTTTGATTAATTATAATGCACCTTATTCAGCATGTATTGTATTTATTATTTATCAAGCTAAATAAAAGTGTGCTGATATCTTCTGGGGGGGGTGTATTTCGTTTTTAGGCATCCTGCTATCTAAAACAGGGCAAATTTAAGCAAGCGGAAAATTTGTACAAAGAGATTCTTACTCGTGCTCATGAACGGGAATTTGGCTCTGTAGATGGTAAGAAACTGCATCCGTAGATTTGAATGTATGTGTCATTTTGGTAGTTATTATGAAATAATATCTGCAGGAAGTTAATTGTATCCTGATCAAAATCATTGTGTGCATGAGGTAGACTTAAAAAGTGAGGTAATAAACATGTTGAAGTATATTCATCATAAGAAAGCATTTAGATATGTCAGTAGCATTTGATTGAAAGGCAAGTTTTTCTTACATGAGGTAGACTTGATAGGTTTCTGTTTTATGGATTGTATTTCTGGCATAATTTACATTATGCCCAACCAAAACCAATTTTGGTATTTTTATAGAGGCAGAAAAACTTGTGACTTTCCAGTCACAGATAAAAGTCAACCCAGGATTTTTAATGATATAATGAATACATTGTTAATGTGATTCTTCCATTAATACATTTAAAGAATGAGGAAAATCCCCTTAAATTGTGAATTATGGTGTACCTTGAGGTCAAATGCATTTTATCAACTGTAAATCACATTGCATTCCATGACGCAAGTATGTGTACCACTTTGTGGATGTCAAAACAGTTTTTATGATAGATAAATAAATGTGCAGTTTTTAGCCCAGAACTAGGTGCATGACAAATCAATGTCAGCATATGCTAACTTCAAAGCTTCTCAGAAATTTTTTCTAAGTTCAGATAAAAGAAGACACAGTCATAAAACTATAAAGAAGAGGCACGTTTATTTATCTGCTGCTTGTAGTACGGACACTAAGCTTTTTTTGTGGTGGTAGTAGTATAATTCCCTGGTTCACAGCTTCATTTCAGAAGGGTGAAAATGAAAATAATGTTTTGTAGTTTTGTTCTTCTGTAATATATTTTCTTGTGTTTCATCAGATGAAAATAAACCTATTTGGATGCATGCAGAAGAGAGGGAAGAATGCAAAGTAAGGCCATTGCCATAAATCTTTTTTGGAGTTTTTTTACTTAAGTTGCAAGTTGGTTATTTTTGGTCAATATTATTTTATTTTAGGGAAAGCAAAAAGATGGCACAACTTTTGGAGAATATGGTGGCTGGTACAAAGCTTGCAAAGTTGACAGGTGGGTAATTTCTTCATAGGACAGACAACATGGCAGTACACGGTATCCAGAACTGTCGCATTAACACATGTTTAAAAATGGAACCAAACCAGCTGCTTGCTTTGGACTGTAAAAACAATAGTATTAAAAATTCAGGCCCCAGGAAAGGGTTTCAGGAATGTACTAACAGTTTTCAAGTCCTGTGGATGCTTTTAATATAGCCTGGTTAGACTAGTAAGTGAACGAGAAACTCACCAGTTGTGTTCTTGGCAGTCCTTCAGGTAAAGCGTAGGTCACCTTTCTCTCTTTTTATTCCATTAGTTGGTGTAGGGTTCTAAAGAGGGCCAGAAGCAAAAAGGAGGCAAGTAACTGAGCATTGGGTTTTTTTAGGTGGTACAAGAAAACAAAGTCAGAACTGCCACAGTTCAGCATTGTTTGAGTTTATAAAGCTCAAAGAATATAGCTTTGTGTGAGTGAAAAAGTGTACTTTAAAATGGAAGAAGAGAAACAAGGACTTCTGCTTGGATTGTACTTGGTGAAATAGGGTTTGTTTCTTTTAATATCGTAACTTGCCTGCCTTTTTTCTAGTGTGCAAGTGGTGCAAGGTAAGAAACATTCATGTAGTATGGATAATGTTTAGTGAGGGTTTTTAATTTATTCAGTGTTTGAATTCATGTATTTAACAACTAGCAGAACCTTTGAACTGTTGAAATCTGCTCTTGTCTCTCCATCCTGAGCTCTGGGTGCAATACATTTTGTTGGTTTGTTTTTCATGTACTTGTTCGTCCTAATGCATGAAGAAATCTTTTCTCTGTTGTTACTGGAGCAAAACTTCACGCAGCAATATGATGACTGAGCTAATACTGTGTCACTGAAACAATATTGTCTTGTTGGAGTGTGAAACTTGTTAATGTTAATACAATTTATTATTTTTTTCCCTTTTATTCTTCAAGCATAGTTTGAAAGCATAGAAAATAAGTATAAAGTAAAAGCTGATGAACTGTTAAATTTGTTTTGTGCCTAACATGCTACAGTAATGGTCACTGTATGCATAAGTAGGCATATTTTCTGGAAGCTTCACAATTACTCAGTTGGGCACACTCTAACTGAGCTAATTTTTTACCTTGAGATGCACATGAAACAGAAGGATGCAGCACTCCAGTTTTCTCCTGAGTAGATTTAGAGGCTATTTACTAACTTTCAGGGCTGTTGACTAATCATAGTGTGAGCCATGAATGCATTTGGCAAGGTGTTAACAGGTTTATCCATGTACATGCAATACTGTGTAGTGTATTTCAAGAGTCTTCCTTTTTGTAATTATTTAATATGATAAATACTATATTTAAGTTTTTATTAGTTTGTGAACTGAGAAGTTTAGTGTGTGTGTGTGTATTTTTTTTCTTTAAATAGTCCAACAGTAACAACTACCTTAAAGAACCTTGGAGCGCTTTACAGACGACAGGGCAAGTTTGAAGCTGCTGAAACATTAGAGGAGGCAGCAATGAGATCTCGTAAACAGGCAAGTGTGAAAATTCTTAATAAAATGTCTACATTGTGATCATGCAGATTTTCAACTACAGTTATCTATCGTATGCACACAATATGTGAACTATTAGCTATGTAGTGTCTAGTATATTTAGTTATTTAGTATCCCTAATTTCAATCTGAACTGGTGATAAACCAGTACCATCTTAACACTTGAAACTGATTAACTGCTAGGGCAGTGGCATCGTATCCTGGGGACATGATTCAAATTGGCAGTGAAATTGCATGGAAAATGGCACAGCAGAAAACACTATGATAGCCAGCAGTCCTTACTTGCTTACGTGTCCTGGGAGAGAGGCTATAGCTAGGGGAAGATGGAGAGTTTCAATGATAATCTCATTTGCCAGTAATGCTGTTCTGTTTTCAGTAAGGAGCTATAAAGCTTTCAAATGTTTTGTTTCTGCATGCAGCTGACTGACTGATGCAGGCCTTTAGAAGACCGTTATAAATGTATTAGTTGTTTCTGTTACTTCCACAGACTACTGAGATGGATATTACAGTTTAAGTGGTGGGTCTGTTCTTTTAATGCAGGGAAGTTCTGTGTCTTTTGTGTCTTTGCTCTCAGATCTGCAATTCAAGTAACCCTTTCTCAGTCTTAGAAGAAGGTGGGGGAGAGTTTTTGTTTTTTTTTTTTTTTTTTGTGGTGTTTTATTGGCTTTTTGTTTTTCCTTTCCCTTTTGGATGGATTGATAAAAAGTCTTGTGTAGAAGTACCCAAGACAGGACAAGCAAATATGGCTTGTCAGTATTAAAATGGAAAGCCAAATAAGAAAATGTAAGTGAATAAAAAAAAGCCCTTGGAAGTTCAATTTTAATTTCATTTTTGCACAATGATTTGCTTTGTTTCTGTGGGGTATTTTTTTGTCTTATACTGATTCAGTGTTGTATTTTAAACAATGATATTGCAGTGTTTGATGTATACAGAAGCAGATTTCTGGAAAAGGGAGAGAGCAAAAAGCTCCTGGCAAACCTCACGCTCTTCTAGTGAATTCAGGAATAGTTCCCTTTGATGTAAGGTGGTTTAAGTTCTTTCTTCCACAAAAAAAAATGATGGAAAACTTGCAAGTGTTTGCCAAGTAAATTGAATTAAACTGGTAAGAGGAAAATATGAATCTGGGAAAAAGGTTCTTCAGCAAGGAAAATTCAAGGGGGGGGGATAGTTGATACAGATTCTTTTACTGAGGTTGATTTTAACTTATTTTTACTGAAGGCTTATTTTTGGAGTGTCTCTATTTGAAAACAAGAAATGAAGATGCACTGCGTCTTAAAATGTTTGTTTTGGTTCTTAGTTTTGCTGTTGCCATTACATGTGATTTTTTTCTTTTTTTTTGGGTGTGAACAGATACAAACAGGATAAATTAGAATAACGTAATAGTAATAAGGCAACTTAGCTTTTATTTGTTCTTTTTATGTATATGTTAGAACCAAAATAAAACGGAGCACCAGCTTCACCAGCTTTTCAAGTTGAAATTTCCACTGGGAAGCTTGGAATTGATTATTTGGGAATTAAGGATGAGAGGATCTTGCTACTGGAGAAGTCTTTTTTTACAGTCCCTGTGTAATCAGCCCACTTCTGGCTTGCTAGTACCACTGCAAAAACTGTTCCTTGTCTCCATTTTCCTTAAAGCTTGCTGGAGGTTTGCTGCTGCTGCTTTGTTTTTATTAAGCATGCTTCAGGTTTTCATTGTTGCATCATATACCATGTCTACCATTATATCACACACAGCCCTGGATTTGGACATGTAGGAAACAGTGCTTACTAGCAGTGTTTAACTCTACTTTTGTATTTTAGGTCATTAAATTAAAGGAGAACAGACAGGGTTAATCCATTTCCCCTTTTCAGCTGAAAGCAAAGAGGTACTTCTGTTCCCAGGTGTGGAAAAGTACCAGTCCTCCATAGTTCTGTTCTCCTTCATGCATGTTTTGTTTGCTTTAGCTGCTGGGATGTAAATGCAAGATTTTTGAAGAGCAGCGAAGTTCTTTGTCCTTCATCTTTCATGACAGAATCAAACTGAGGAAGTGCAGTTCCCCGTCCCTTTTTTAAATGCATGTATTAAAGTGTGAAGTAAATGAGTCGCCGTAGCTTTGGAGCAGAGCCCAGGGTCTTTATGTGATACTTCACCTCTTTAGTGGTGATTTTAAATAGTTTTATGGTTTTTGTGTTCTGTGCTGCTGAAGGGATTGGTGCAGAAGCCATTTTGACCCTGTGCTTCAATACTGAGAGCTCTAGCCAGTTTTCTGCACCATGCAGCCACGTGGAAGTGAAAATATATGATCATTATGTGTTCATACTTCCTTATTTGTAGAATTCCATCAGGGAGGGCTGTTCTGCTCTTCAGTTAGTGGAAAGCAGCTATGTGTGTTATAAAAATTCCGTCTTGATCGTGATCTGATTTAATTAATTTTTATTACAATTGATTAATATCAAGAGGCAATAATCAAGCAGTGCTGGGTGCGCCGGGCAGTCTCCGCTCCACCCAAGACGCACACCGAGATTTCTGGGGTACAGTCTCTTATACTCCTCGGTCTTGGGTTTCAGCCAGTCCTGTTGTCTCCTTCACCCGGATATCGACGTGGTTCCTTTTCATCGTTCTCCTCCTGTTGCTGGGGGCTTATCTTCGGGTGAAGAAACTTCTTAAAAAGTTATTGAATTCCTTGGTAATACGTTAACAGGGGATGTCTATCACAAGCTTAACCACCATCTTAGCCCCCCCTAAATTCCATTTCTTATATAGTTACTTATTCAATACACAAGTTTCACCTCATCCTGTAACAGGATGTATCTCTTGATTACCTAACCCCCTTAAGGCATTCAAGCAGTTAAACAGAGTACCCCTTTAATTAGCAAAGTTTGAGACATTAAAGTAGTTAAACAAAGTACCCCTTAAAGTAACAAAGCGTTTGATTAAGAAGGATTATTCCTTTGTTTCTTCTTCTCTTTCATCATTGTATTGACAGGAACATCTATCATAATCTGATCATTCTTAGACGTTTTCAAGGATTTTCGATTCCACCCAAAGTGCAATGATGACAAGGACTCCCAGGTTGCTGACACAAATCATTCCTATGTATCTCACATATGGAACGAAGAACCTGATTTCTTCATGCTACTAAACCGACTTTCTTTCTTATTCATGCACTTTACTTTTTAGAAGAATTTTGGCATGATTTTCACTGTCTGTATTGTGGTAGGCTTTATGCATTTGTCACAGAGGTCCCCTGCTGCATTTGCTGCTAATGTTGCACAGTGAAAGGTGTAGAATATTTTCTTATGTGTAAGGCACTCACTGGGCATCTCTTCCTGCAGGATACTGTTCATAATGTGGAGTATATGAGGTTTATTCTAAAGAAAACAATACTCAAGTATGATTTGAGCTTTATTACTTTCTAGTTTCTGTGGAAGATTTTGCTATTATTTTTAGTACATGATTTTTACAGAAGGTATTTAAAGATATTCAAAGGGTTATGTGGTAACTGATGGACATTGTTTGACACAAAGCAAACGTATTTTATTGACCACAAATATAGTCTGTTCTATTGTAAGCTTATTTTCTATTTAATGTCTTTCTGAACAATCAGTTATACCACTGTGCCAAGTATCATATGTCTCTATTTTTAAAATAACACAACCCGTGTCTCAGGTATTAGATATTCAGGTACCTCCAATGTTCTCTCCAAAGGTGGGTGAATACTGTACCATTTGATAGGTGGAAAACTGAGAATTGCATTGACCGTTCATGACCTAGGAATTGCTTAAACATTAAGCTGGTGGCCAGGTGGCTTCAGGTAAGTTATGTGAACACTGTGAAGCTTTGACAAGTGATAGGGAAGGAGGAAAAGAATGGCAAGTCACTGAATTTTCTACCAAACTGTCTGTCCACTTCATGCTCTGTTGATTTCTGCAGTGTATGAAGGGCAACTCAGCTGCTCTTTGAAGGTAGAGTTGGGGTGATGGAGTAAGGGGTTGGTTTGACTTCTTTCTTGATATGGTTATTGTGTGTTAGTATAGCTTGTAGCAGAAGAAAACCTTTTGCCATTTTTTCTAATTCTCAGGGTCTTGACAATGTTCATAAACAGAGAGTTGCTGAAGTGCTGAATGACCCTGAGAGCATAGAAAAAAGGCGAAGCCGAGAAAGCCTCAATGTTGATGTGGTAAAGTACGAGAGTGGTCCTGATGGAGGCGAGGAAGTGAGTATGAGCGTAGAATGGAATGGGGTAAGTACAGTACACAGTTTAAGAAAATAGCCTAAATCAATTAACACCAGAACAAATATGGTTGTCCATTCACCAGCCTCTTGTGTTTTCAGTTGTTTCTTGGTTAATCTACTATTTTGTGATTTTGCAGAATCAAGAATAAAGAATAACATTTTGTTTATCATAACATAATTTAAAAAAACTGTAACATTTAAAAAATTTAAACCATCCTTTCTGTTTTCCTGAATGGTGAAATTTTTTCAAGAATCCTAAGCAGTTGTATTTAACTTTAAGTTGTTTAATGCTGATTGAGTGTCCTGGTTATGGTCTGGTGTACAGTTGCTTGTTAGTGGTTTCTTTTTACTGGTAGAAATACTCTGGCAATTATCTTACTTTTGCTTTTGTCCTTTTGATGCCATATTTGCCTGTATTTTAAATGTTTCTTTACAAATATTGCATCTCTTGGAATCACAAAGAACATTTGCTATAGAGATGCATTAAGTGTCAGCAGTTTTAGAGTAAATACTTGAGCAGTCTAACACTAAAATAATTCCAGTCTCCTCCTTAACCAAAAGGAAAAAAAGTAACTTCTGAAGCTGCTATACAGTCCATTTTAAGAGGCAGTGCCATCGCATAAAAATATGATGGTAACTTCACGTATCTTGAGTGAAATATTAATAACACTTTTCTGTATTAGAATTTGACGGGAGTCAAGGCTTGTTCCAGTTTTTCCCATATATTGGCTTCACTATATAACACTGTCATAAAGTAAAAACATACATATAGTGCGATGACATATGCATTTTTGTAACCACTGGAAGACAGTAACCATTTTGTAACCACTGGAAGACAATGCTGGCTTTCAGCTATTGATCTGGCTTATGTAGTTGCTTGCTTTTGTCACCATGTTTCCCATGTTTATTCCATTGCCAGCAATGGGATATATATTGCACTGTTAACCAATTCCCAGCTGCAGTTCTGCTGAAAATACTCTGTTAGATTATAAGGTGTTGCCTGCTTTTGCTGTATGGGAGGAGAAGTAGCCTACTTTGCAGAATTGAGTGTTCTGAAGTTTCATTTCTCTTACAGTAGCAGTCTTTCTCTTTTTATTTCTTTTTGTTAGCCACATGAGACAAACTTTAGCATTCCAAAGAAACCTTGATAAACACATACTGCTTTACTCTTCAAGGAGAAGGTCTTTCCATCTTTGCTTTTGTCTCTTTATTACTGTTTTCTTGGCATTGGTGTTCTCGGTGCCAAGACAGTCAATCAGCATCTACTGTGAATAACACTGCATCATCAATAAAGCCAAAGTAAGGTTGGATTAACACTTTTTTTAATTCTCATTTTGCCCATTCAGCTTTAGAACTGTGTACTGTACTCCTCCCTTAATTTTCGCTGTACTTTGCATGACTATATGTTCTAAACGGATTAAACGTTTTTTCTGTTATTGACATTAATTAAACAAGCATGCAGGTTTTGGATTGAAAGGCCCTTTTGTGGAAAAGCAGTAGACAGTATTTCTAGGTCAATACATGAATCAAACTTGGTGATAAAAATTGTTGATCTGAAAAGTTAAATTCTGACTTTTCAGAGCAAACTTCATTTTTAGTGTGCTGAAGTGGCATCGCTTTATTCTCATCTTAGTTTATTTTTTTTCCCTCATGAGAGATATTTTTGTATTACATGTTTTACATAAAAGTGGGCAACTCCTCTCTCTCTACCCTGCTAGTGTTTCTATCTCAGTGCTGTTCTCCCTCTACTTTATATTGTGTAGGTTTTTTTACCCTCATGTGTTCCCTCCAGACAAAATACTCTGGTTCATGAAGTATAGTAGAATTTTTTACTTCTGTCTTTTCCATTTAAATTCTTCTGAATTGGTCAAGCTGAGTGTCAGAATACTTGGAGTATGTAAAGCAACAAACTTCAACAAAAAGTTGCTAGAAGATTTATTGTAACTAAGTGATTTCCATATGTAATTTAACCCATATTAAGCAGGATATGCTTTGATGTAATGTCTTGCACTCTTACAAAAAGAACTGAAATATCTATTGAAGTAAATCTGCTAATAACTATTAAAACGATATGTTAAGTGAAGTTTTATTGTGCATGTTTACATGTTTCTTAGAAAGTCCATCCCTCTAAGTTAACAGAAACTACAAAGAAAGCAAAGAAATACTTGGTTTTGAAAATTCAGGGTAGAAATCTCAAGATTCCCTGTCCTCTATTATATTTGTATATGAAAAATTACAGTGCGTATCTGTAATTGACATTTTTGCAAATTGATCTTGCAGCTAGTTGCAGGACAGATAAAAATCCTTGTGGTGTGACAGTGCTTAATTTAAGCTAATGTTCTTACTCTAACTTACGTGCTTCAAAGATGCGTCTTTTGAGCACAAAAGTCTGCATTCAGGTGTGAAACAAAAGCAGTATATTTCACTACTATAGCTGCTAAGCGTTTCTACTTTAATAAGAAGTATCAGATTAGTCAAAGGGGCATTGTAGCAGACACCTAGAGAGTACACGAAGCGATGGTGGGGAAGTGTAAACAAAAGTATTACGGTGATTCTCATTCTGAGCAACATAAAAATTGGCAGTTAATCTTTGCCATAGAAATGGAGATATTTTCTGCTTTTTTGATTGGTTTTGCTGGATTTAGGAATTTTGTTTTTTTTTTTTTTTTAATCCTAAACTCATGTTTTAAAGGTATTTTTTTTTAATCATGCAGTCATTGTTTAACTTGGGAGTTTAATATATTTACTCCAGATTTGAAGTAACCAAAAGCTTGTCTTAATAATGTGCTAATTAGCATGATAGAAGTTACACACCCCTACCAAACTTGTCTTGGGTTTGTTCCTTAGATCATTATCACTACTACAGCACCACTGGTTTAAGGCCATAGGAATAATTAGCCTTTTCACTGATCTAATACTTCTAATTGGAATTTAAACTCCAGTTTATTCAGTCCTGCAAAGCTGAAGTGTGTTTTTAGAAGTGTGTGCAACACACACAATTTTGTTTGAAACAGAAATACTCAGTTATATTTTGATCTTCTGATCACTTTGTAGCAAGGCATTCTGATATTTCCAAAAATAATTTTAATTACTGTTTATTCCAGTTGCTGTATGTAAAGGCCTTCAAAACAGTTACCTTAAGACTATCAGTAATGGTCTCTGTGCTTACACCAAGAATGGAAAGTGTGTAAACTGAAGTAGAGCTTATTTTTAAAAGTGAATTCTATCAGATGCCTCACTACATTAGGAAGAGGAGAGAAATTTCCACTTGGATTTTATATATTATTTTATACATCTATTTATACACACAGGGATGTGTTCTAAAATTACTCTAAAACTGAATGGACACAGGTCAGTTGGATTCTAGTTCCTTAACGGAATGAACAGGATTTTGTCTGGAGGTTAGGAGAAGACCCCTTTCTTCTTGCTGTTGTGTTTTGAGGAACATTCCTGACAGAAGTTAAAGCTGAAATGAATGCACCTTGCTCTGTTCCTTTCTTCTGGTTTGTTTTTTGTTTTTTTTTCCTTTATTTTTTATTTTTGTGTTAAGGTCAGCTGAAAAGAAAAATCCTTTCTTTGCTTACAAAATGTAACACTAAAGATATCACTTTTAAAGTTTTTTTGGTATTTTATGCAAATTTTAACTTAAAGAATGCACGGAATCATTCATGCTCGTTTGTAAGTTGCATATTAGTGATACAGGTGAAACTGCAGAAAGATGTACATTCTGGTAATTGCAAGGGCCTGCACTTTGTGTTTCAGGGCAGCCCAAATACTCCAGAAAAAAAAGTTTTGATTGTGACCTAGAAATACTGTAAACTTAACTGTTCAAAATTGAAAACTGTTGAATTTTTCCCAACAGTTTCATTGAGTTTTTCTCTCTCCATTTCTGACAGGCCTAGATGCCTTTTGTGATTCTTATACTGTCTCCTGCATGACGGGCGTGCACCATCTTCAGGCTTTAACTTCTCTCTTCAGTACTGACTGCTGTGTTTTAGCAAACCCCTTAAGATTCTTGTCAGAGCTACACTTCCCTGTAAACTGGCCATTCCTTCAGTGCTGGTGTCCTTTTTTGGTTTTCTATTTCTGTACATGTGTAGCTTTGCCAGTTATGTATCTAGTCATACAAAATGTTATTACAACCATTTGCTGTGTAATACATAGAAAAAAAAAGTAACAATGAACTTTAGAAGTAGCTGTTCACTATGGAAAAAAGGTAGTTAAAAGTATCACACAAGGTATTACTGAAATGGCATGATGGTGATCTTTACGGGAGAAAAACAAAACCAAACCATAAAAGTAAGGCATGTTCTCCAAGTGCTTTAAAATGTATTTAGAGACCTATTACATGGTTAACATCAATATGGAACTCTGGATGTCTTCAATTATGAATATTCTAAAGTAGCATTGCTGTATAGTCTTTGTGTGAGATTTTCGCAATTATGCTTTTCTCTACTAATCTTGGTGTTCAGTGATTTGTGTATTTGTCTTTCTAACTTCTAATAAACTCACTCTAACTCAGGTGTCTGTCTTTGTCTGCTTAGTAATATTTTACTTTCTTCTTTTACAATTCTTGTTTCATAGTCACATAGGATTTCTATGAAGTAGGAAATGGTCGCTTCTAATCTTACTAAACCGGTTTGCTTTTGGGGTTTTTTTAAAGAGTAAAACATTAAAAAATAGAATTTTTGTCAGATGGAAGTTTCTTCTGGTTAGCACAGCAGTGTGTAAAACATGAATGCAGTGTATGAAAAATTCATTGTGTTTTACATTTTCTTTGGTACAAGTTAAAGTGAAGCACAGGAATTTAACTATACATGTTTCTGTCAGAAATATTTTTGTTTAAGGAGTTTAGGATTAATTGAACATGTTTGCAGGTAGTGTAGATGTTTAGAAAGAATAAAACAGGGTTTTTTCCTTAGTGATGGAATGCTTTTGTGTGGGGCTTGTGCTATGTTAACTACAGTATGCTCTTATAAAATGGTAACATGGTGATTTGTTTGACTCCTTGGTGGGTTTTTACTAATTATGAATCATGGCTTGAGCATGTCGTGACATTCTAGAAATCTTTTACAGTTTGGAAAGCACCCTGTTATAGTAAAGTTGTAGCTACACGGTATTACATGTTTAGGTAATTGTACCAAGTACCTGTTAATAGCAATTAAAAAAAAAAAGTCATCAACGAAAGGGTCTTGAGCCAGCTTTGGGGGAGGGCACCAACTCTTGCAGTTTCACATTTGTTCAATTTTTTTCAGGATGGCACTGGATCTTTAAAGCGCAGTGGTTCCTTTAGCAAACTTCGTGCTTCCATTAGACGCAGCAGTGAGAAGCTGGTTAGAAAGCTGAAGGGAGGAAGTTCACGGGACAGTGAACCAAAGAATCCAGGGTAATTATCTATCCTTAGCTATGCTGCTGTGCCTTCCTTCTGTGCCCCCCACTGTAGCCTAGTGTAGTGCCTAGAGCAGTGTTTTCTTCTCTGCTTAGCTAACTCTATTTCATACAGATTTATATCTTAAAGTAAAATAAAATAAGAATTTCTAAAACTTATAGTTCTGTAACATCCGAGGAATTATATTTGCTTTTAAGAGTTAACTCAATTTTAACAGCGTTTTTTCCCTTTTTACTGCTTTAGCCATTTGAGGAATAGAAAAGCCTCGTAGAAATATTGATAAATGTTAGTTAACTGCAAAATTCTCTTCACACAGCACTGAAGAAAAATAAATGTTACTGAATTTTGGTATAGCTTAATATCTTGATATATTCTTAATAGAGCTTTATATATATTGCTGTGAATATAAAGAGAATTACTAACTTGAGCCCTTCTCAGTTTCTATTTTTGGAACCCCCAGATTTCAGAGAGCAGAGGAAAATGTTGACAAACTTGAACCTCATTGTGCATCTCATTAACATTTTGGCCTCAGTAAAGTCAGTGCTAAAAATTCAAATTTTAATGAATTTAACTTCTCTTTCTTATTTACCACGCGATTATAGATTTGAGTGTACGTCGTATTTCTAATAATTGCACTAAAACCATTCATCACTTACTGGCTGCTGCAGAGAAGTTGAAATATTAAAATATACTGCTATTTTTCATAATAGCATTTGTGGGTATTCCCTTTTGCCCCAGTGTTATTGCAGTCAGATTTGCAGGGTTTTTTCCCCTTACTGTGGAAAACTGGAACTCACTTCAAAACTGAATGACAGTGTGAATTTGAACGTACGCTTTAAAACAGTTAAATTGGAGAATGTGAAGTAACTTCTGATGGAGCAGCTGCATCTTAGTAATATAGTAGATGATGATGATGGTAATACCTGAGACAGTGATCTGGACGCAGGCTCTCGATGCGTTTCTCTAAGCGCTACACTGAAATTTTGCCTCATTGTTTTCTGTGGCTGTAAAACATTGTGTACAGCTGCAATACACGTAGAATTCACATATGAGTAGAAGAAGGAAAAATGTAAAATGCTTTAGGGAAAACAAGCAAATGCAAACCAAAATAGAATAAAATGGTTTTCCTTTGTCTTCAATGTGAGCATTTTCAAAATCTGGTTTTCTGTTTCTGTTCAGCTCTGTCTAGAGTTCATACATTGTAGCTCAGGTATATTATTGCATGAATAGATGTAAATACTCGTAGCTAATTTTGCATTTTCTCATCAGTTTTTGAGACATGGAAAGGTTTTACGTTCCTGAAAAGCCAAGAGTTTTATTCCTTCTTCTCAGTAGTAAATAGACCTATTTTGCCTGCAGGTAAAATAATTCCATGGTTATAGGTGTAGAAAATTACGCTTATGTATAACTGAAGACATTTGGCTTTGCAATTTCCTGTAAGAATTTGCCTACCTTTTTATTTTCTGCACTTCAGGAATGTTATTTGACCAATGTAGAAGTAATCTACCCACAGTAACATTAATTGTATTGTGGGGTCTGTATCACCAGAGAAGATTGCCTCAAATAAAGATATTAATACGAAACAGATATTTGTTTGAAGACAAAGCAATATCTTTCTTGCTTTCATTTTTTGACAAAGTATTCTTGGTTTTTTAGATGTCACCGTAGTTGTCAAAGAATAAGTTATTCTTAAACTTGCAATACATGTTTTGCATTGACAAGCTTTATTGTAGGTATACACATGGAGTGTGTAAGACAAATACTGCAAGCTCTGTTCTTATGAAATTGAGACATTTTTAAATTCTAGTTATACTATCTGGTTTTAATAACAAAGATTCCTGGTATTAAGCACCAGCTTTGTAGCTCATGAGGCATAACTGTACATACTGATATTCCAGAAAGTCATTCTGATCTCATTTTCTGAAAAACTTTAGTAAATAAATACTTTTTTTTTCTGCTTCTGAGTTTACTAAAAAGGATACTCGGTTTTATTATGCAAACATTTGTTTTTAGAGTGTTTGATAGCTGAATATTACAATAGTGACATAGTGTACATATAAATCATTTTTGCTATGAAGTCAGCTGCTCTAGGTAGATAGAGAACATATGTGCTCTCATCCTTACCAGTACATCTCTGCAATCCCTGCTATGTTTCTAGGAAGACTTTGTTTTGAAATTGATTTACAGCTGTTGCTTATACTGTGCTTCTGTAAGTAGCAGTTAACACTGCTGGTAAGATTCTGAAAGAGGCATACTCAAAGAGAAACACATTAATATGATAGCATGAAAGAGACTTAGTTACTGTGTTGTTGCTTGATACAGAAGGCTGGAGAAAATAAAGTAGAAAACTCATCAGGGAAATTGTTTATTTAAAATCATGCAAAATCCTTCTTGACAAAGAATAAGAATTGTTCTTTGAAACACACAATACCTGAAGCACTGTATCAGTTCTCTCTTTATCATATTTCAGAATTTAGTTCTGTAGTAATTTAACTTCACTCAGTCAGTGTTAAGTTTGATGTTTCCACTTTGAAAATGTTGATCATAGAGTAGAACAGTTAAGGTTTATAATAAAAAAAAGGTTTAATAATTGCTATTTAAGCAATGATATTAAGCACTGGAAAAACAGCTGCATGCTTTTTGTGCAGTTATGTTTCTAACATGGAGGGAGTTTTAAAGGTGCATTTGCCAGACTAAAGTTCTCAAGCATCTTGATTTAAAACAAACACACAAAGAAACGAACAAAACCAACTCCCCCAAAAACAACCCAAAAAGAAACCAGTATCTCATGTGATTAAAAAAAAAAAATTTTTTTTAATTAGCAAATATAAATATATAAAGGGGGAGTGTCACGAGGATGGAGCCAGGCTCTTCTCAGTGGCAAACAATGATAGGACAAGGGGCAATGGGTACAAACTGGAACACAAGAGGTTCCACTTGAGAAGAAACTTCTTCTCAGTGAGGGTGACAGAACACTGGAACAGGCTGCCCAGGGAGGTTGTGGAGTCTCCTTCTCTGGAGACATTCAAAACCCACCTGGACACGTTCCTGTGTAACCTTATCTAGGTGTTCCTGCTCCGGCAGGGGGATTGGACTAGATGATCTTTTGAGGTCCCTTCCAATCTCTATCATACTGTGATACTGTAATTGGCACTTTAGGAAGAACATAAAAATGTGTGTGTAAATTTTCACTGATGGATTTTCTATTTCCCTGGAATGTTTTCTGTAAACCTTTATGCTCTTTTGGAGAGTTTTATGTAATGTTTGTGTTTTACAGATTAACTTACTTCGGCTTCCATATATAACCTCTTCTTCTATGTGCTTCCTTGAATAAATGAGAGGTGTATACCATGCATGAGTCTTTGCTTTGTTGTTGCTAACACTCATGTCAGATATTTTAAATTATGTGTGTTCTAGCTTCTGAAACATGCAGATTTAATGCTAGGAAAAGACAGCCTATGTTATATGACAGCTGTTGCTTGTGTATGTTAGTGTTTGGTTTGTTATTCTGTTAAGTCAATGCTTTATGAAAGCATTTAAAAATCACGCTCGACTTCAACTATTAGTAGTCATGCTTCAGTAGGAAGAAACACTAATATCTAAAGTGATCTGTATGGATAAACCTTTCCATGTTACTGGAAGGCTTAGAAACTCAGCCTTGACCATTTGTGTCTAATGCTGTAGGTAGTACTGCAGGATTAGGGCCTCATCGTCTTGTGAATAGTTCATCAAATATGTATTCAAAAACCATCCTTTAGGAGTTCTGAAGTAGTTAAAGAGCTAGTGAAAAGTCAAAGCAAATACAGAACCTTCTGAGTAGCGTACAGACGCTTGGGAATAAAGGACATCAGACATTCCTGTTGTAGTCACCATGATGGAATGAATCTTAAGGCTCATTTTGAATTCCATTGCACATTTAAAAATATTTTGTTAAATTTTGTGTATGTTTGAGAAATGTAGGTAAACTGTTAATCCCCATCTCAAACAGGAGTAGGTATTACAGTTAACACAGTGATACTCAGACTGTCAGTAGCCCCTGTATACGTGATTGTGTTTTTTAAAGTCATCTGTTGCTTTCAGTACAGTAGTCTCAGGTGATTGTTACCACTGCTCAGAGTGTTATAAAGCCAAAAGCATAACCAAAGTTAATAGCAGCAACCCTCTTGTTTCCCTCACTTTGAAATGTGTAAAATAAAAGATTTTAAAATGCCTTTTGGAATTGATTCTGAAGATTTACCTAGATCAGACAGAAAGTCTTAAATAGATGTTCGCTGTAGCTTTTCCAAGTTAAATGCTGCCTATGTAACAAAACTTCCTCATGCTTCTCATTTTTTCCTTAACTGTCTGAATATTTTCATGCTTTTGTAAGAAGCTGCGTAAAATTGAAACTGAGAATTAGTTAATTAAAAATCAGTGCTAACTCAGTGTATTAATTTGATATGCTTTAAAAACTAAGATTTTGTTTTGAGTTGAAATTAAATCAGTGGCCTGTAATGTTTAAGTTCTGAAGAGCTTGTAATATTTTTTTGGTTTTATATGTAAATTAGAACTGAATACAAACATGTTCTAAGTTATGTAGTTATCTTAAAGGGTATCCCTCAGATCAGTTTTGGGGGACTGTTCAAACTCCCTTAACTATGCATTGCTCATTGTTATACTTGTGTTTTTAGAGCTGTTAGTTTTCAGCTATTCTGATTGGTTTATCCTTGCATGTTCACTGTCCTGGTTGCAGCATGAAGCGTGCCAGTTCTCTGAATGTTCTTAACATGGGTGGCAAGGCTACTGAAGATCATTTTCAAGTAAGAAGCCCTACAATACTCTTACAAAAATAGCTATCATTAGTAGGGTTTGGGATAAAGAGAGTATAATGGTTAATAAAACAACAAACTCCCAATGAGTGTTAAAAGCCTTCCTCAGTAAGATGCTTAGAACATATGCTTAAGGCATAATTCTGTGGCAGTGTTGTGAATTATGCTTCATTTTCAGCAGGTGCTTATGTCCAACCAGTATAAAAGCATTGGCTTTTATAATACTAAGGTGCTTATGTCCAACCAGTTATAAAAGCATTGGCTTTTATAATACTAAGCAGGCTCTGCTTTGGACTATTACAGTGGATATGAAACTTCTGGAATCATGTGTTCTTGTAAAGATAAAATACAGGAACTTTAAAAGCCCAGTTCAGGATTTGTATACTTCATCCCCTTTATGGCAAAGGGCCAAATCATCTTAATTGCTGCACATTTTCAGGTTCCTTTAAATGCGACCTCAGTTGTTTCTGAGGTTGTATAGGAGCAGTCTCTAAGTTTGTCTGATCTGTGCTATGCTTCTGTTAAAATAAAACCCTATTTTGCTCAACCATTAACCATGTGCCCAACTGCTACTCCCCATTTCCTGTTTTTACCTAATAAATCATAGTTTCTTTTGTTGTCAAATGAGTTAGCAGTGTTCTGTGTTCTAAACGCTGTTGTGCATTTTACTAACGCAGTAACTGCAACTAATTCTTAGGAAGATAGAATTACTTCTTTGTACTAACAAAACTCTGTGTTTTGGATCTTGAGCACTGTTTGTCCTACAGTAGCAAGAAAACCCAAACTGTGTTTGCTGTTGAGTGGCATAAAGATGTTTTAACTATATTATCTCTAATGGATGTACCGCAGAGTTTTCTGTCGTGTGACATGTATGCATAACTTTACTTAGGGTGAACTTCAGCCAAAAAAAAAATCCAGGGTAAAGCATAATTCTTTGCAGCAACAGTGGCAAGGGTTCAGAATGCCATGCCCTAGGTGCCCCTAGCCTGGATCCTTAGTGTGTAATTGATGGGACTTCCAGAAGAGTAATTTGTTGTTTATGTGTACACATCAATACTAAAACGAGTTCTCACTTCTTGTGAACTTAGTAGTTCACTCACTGTAGGCACTCACAGCAGTTCCTGCAGATAGGCTGTTGCGTTTCTGGTAAGGCTTGCGTCAGCACTGTCAAGGGTGTATATATTCCTGTCAATAGATCTTTTCAGCATCACTAGTCGAAAGCTGGGAAAAAGATGTTTACTAGAATACAGAAAAGTTGTTCCCCCACCCAACATGAGCATGGCCAGTTCTCTGTAGTTCCTTGTATTTGTTTGTTCCTGTTTGTTAAAGCAAGTAATTTTGTTTATTTGCCTGAACTATCTGGACGTCTGCTTAATTTATTTGTTTGTCTTTTTCCCCTTCACACAGGAACGAAATAATTGTCTGACAGACTCGAGAGCTCTGAGTGTCAGTCATACTGATTTGGCGCATTGAGTCTTGGACAGAAGCTAGCTAAAATTCCTTTGTGAATAAAGAAGCACTGAGACCTTCAAAGCTTTGGTTCCTCATCATTATGTATAGGAACACCTAGTTTGTAATTTTGTTGGGTTTTCTTCCAATGGACTGCTGGTTTTACCTTTTCTAAATAGGGTTGATTTAAACACAGCATTAGTGGGTGTTTTCCTCTGAAGGAAAAACTATGTAGATATATATTGCTCATTGCACTGCTCCCATTCATACTACTTACATCGATTTCTTTAATAGATTGGAATATTACAGCCGCCAAAAAAGTGTAAAAATACAAACATATTTAAAGCATACCAAAATGTATTTGAAAACGCTGGCAAAATTAAATGTGTAGCAGTAAATATATACAGTGCTGGAATGAGAAAAGGATACATTGATGTGCATTACTGTATAAATTCAAATTAAGCATACTGTATTGGTGGGGCTTTCTTTTGCTCCACTGATTACTGCAATGTTAGAAACCTTAGCTGGCAAAGCAGCACTTAGGCACGGCTTACTTAACCACTATATTGAGCTATTAAATTTATCAGAAGAGATGGCTGGGGTTGCATTATATAGAGATAGCATGAATAGCAATATCTGTGACCATGACTTTGATACTTGCTGATGTCTTAGGGCACAATTATCAATGGAGAGAGGATGGCTTGTGTTGATAAGGAGAAATGGAAAATGTTTTGACCTTTACCTTGTACGGTTGAAGAATACTGAAGTTTTGGACTGCAACTATCCCAGAGCAGCTCCTGGTGCTCTTGGAGAAACATAAAGCCTCAGGTTGACTTGCTTGTCCACTGGAATTCACAGTCCCATCCTGTTGCCAGAAGGGCCCCAACATTTCCTTATGCTGATCCCAAATCCTGCCTTTCTCCATGATAGCTGATGAGAGCAGAAGCAGGCAGCTACACACTAGGCTGTTAACATGGTGGAGTAGCTGCTGTGCAGAGGACCACTGAAATCCTAGGGGCCCGAGGGGAAGCATTAGATGGTCATAAACATACTTACGGTTAATATATATGCTGCCTGTATACAGGACTGCTGCTGGAACGAAATACGTATGTTTTAAGTTTTGTATAGACACTAGTGTTTCCTTTTGCTTTTCTGTAAAACTTGTAATTTTGTTCATCTTTTGTAAAAGTTCTTATTCATGTGAAGTTGGATGAGGAAGTAAAATGAGTGTGTGTACAAATGTATTTGTGGTCATAGCTGTGAGTTGGAAAATGACAAAGGAAACTAACTTTGGGAAAAGCTGGAATATTCATTCAAGCTAGTGCCAGCCGAAGGAGGCAAAACAAAGGAACATAAGCAAGTTTTAGTATTTGAATAGGCTGTGAGGAGTCATTAGAATTAGTATTTTGTAGAAGTCTTTGACTGATTTTCATTTGTTTTCAAGTTGGTTACAGTAACTGATGCAAAAAGCTGTGTATGTTATGCACTTAACTGTTTCCAGGAGGTGTGTACCTGCTAGAAAGAGAGTTTAGAAACAGTGAGATACAATGCTGCTAATGAGTAGGAGTTTTTAGCACAGAGTAATGCAATTCATTAATGAACTTGAGCAAGAACAGATTGCTGCTCAGTTACCTTAACAATATGTACTTATATAATGTAGACTCTTGAGTTTTAATCTTTTTATTAAGAGCTTTTATATTAAAAATTACATAATATATATACTTTTCCCCTTAAAGCAAGACGTGTTGTATGCACTTGTTGGTGAATCCGTTCTCCACCCAAAAGCAGATTGAGCTGGCTCTGCATGAGGAGCTGGACATGGGCACAGCCCACTGAGCCAGGGCGAGCTGGGAAGTGACAGGGTTGTCTGTCCCTCTGGCTGTGAACACCCCTCGCAGTTGGCCCATTCTACACCAGCAGGGATGGTACTGCTGCTACTGTAGGAGTGTCTTGGTGGGCCTGGTCTGTGAGCTTAGCACTTCACTGGGAGACCCTTACAGGAGTCCAGCTCCCCAAACAGTCCACAGAACTATAGGCAAAGCTTATTTTGGTAATAAGAAAGTACTTAAATGGAAGATTTTTTTCTACATTGATCTTTCCGCTTTGAAGGAAAATTATTTTTGCAGCCTCTAAGCCCCCAACAAACCAACTTGTGTAAATAGCAATAAAATATTTAACCATGCCAAACTATAATGTGCAGGAAGTTTTAAAAGGCAAGACCCTAGCGGGTGATGGTGGTAGTAAGGGAACTTTCTTGTTCAGGATCTTACTGTTGGTGGCATTTGTGCTTTTAAATGTTTTAATCCTTTATATAGTAAAATGTGTTGGAAGATTAAGTTGAGCTACTGCCTATTAAATGATTCTTACATTTAAAAGGTTATTTTTTTTTTTTTCAGAGAAGAAACAAATTTCAAGACTTCTCTAATCCATAATCACCCAGAATTATAGCCAAGTCCTGATAGTTATGAGCCAGTGAGCTGTTTGAGAAGCACTTGTAAAGTACAAAAGCAAGCTTACTGGGTTTGAATGGTGAATGAGTTACTGTCGCGACAATGTTTGTATACATTTAAATTTCAGGTGGGCCTCTTAGTGTGCTTTATGGAAGATTTTCTTTCTGAATTTCTCTGTACCAGTTGTAGCTGACAGTGCACAAAGTGCAGACCCAGAATACCCAGTTGTGTTAGTCCTGAATGTCTTCAGTACTGAACCAAATCAACAGCTCTTACAAACCAGAAAACTAAAAAAGACCTTCAGTATTGACAGGCATCTTGTTAGTGTAGTGCTGAGGTTTAAATCTCACAGTTTTGTAAGTGTGAATTTCACTCAAACTGTGATAAGGACTCCAGTTAGGCCACTTCAGCCAAGTTCTCCTATGAGTGGTGGCTGGTGGTTCTGGGATATAGCAGTGGGGTGCTGGAGGAATTGTGGGTGGAATTGTCACTGAGGGAAAGATGCCCATGGGCCTTCTGTCTGTGTGGTGGTGTGCAGGTGTCTAGGAATTCTGGCAGTATTTGGTCTTGAGTTGAGATCTTACTAAATGCTATTTGTAAAATGTAACTTTCACGATTTGCTCCTCTTTAGAAGGAATGACTGGACTATTGCTGTGATGTTTGTGCTTGCAGTACTGTGGTGACAGAACATAGCACTGAAACAACAGAAAAAATATTTAATGCATTCTCTAAAGAGTTTGAACCTTTTATTAAATGGCATCCCCTTTTCTCCCAAGCCTTCCTGAATGGTAGTAAAATAAAATGGGTTTAAGCTTGAGGAGTATTTCTGCTTAAATTGTACCATTGAGTCTAGTAGTTTTGAAAATGGTGTGATTCTGTTGTACATAAATAGTAAAAGGGGCATTTAGTACTGTGATGAAAGTGTGTTTACAAAACCTGATGAGTTCAAGTTACTTCACTTTTTGTTCTGCAGGTCGTGTATCTTGTCTGAAAGCTGCTAAGAGAATTGCATTGTTGGTCATGTTGGCCTGTACTGAGAGAATAAATGTTAAGAGATGTGATGCTGTGAAGTTTACAGTTTCCTTGTAGTCACTTTACATTGTCACAGACTTACAGAAGTATCAGTATAAACACTGGCACTTTGGAATTCTTGTAAATAGTTTAGAATTGAGGGAAATTTGAACATCTAAATTTGATTATTGCCTCACTCCAATGCACTTGCATTAGTCTCAGTGCACTCAATAGCCAAGGTCAGTAGCTTGTTTTAAACAAAAAGCCAAAAACAACAAAGCAAGAGCGAAGTATGGTGCCACTATTGGATAGAAGGCAGAAGCCAGGAGCTGTTGGGAAAGATGCTCAACATCTTTGATCTCATCTTATAGTGAGGCTGCAAAACTGTTCTTTATTTGTAAGAAATTAAACGTTATCTTTTAGATAAGAAATACTGAGAGAACCATAGTTAGAAGCTTCATTTAACATTCAAAGCTGCTCTAACAGTTGTGCTGACACACAGTTGAGAGAGACTAAATGTTGCATAGAGCATAGAACAAGTGTAGTGAAGTAGTTTTTAAAACCAGATCAATCCTGAGGCTCCATATTTTTATATGCGAGTCCCCACTCAAGCAGGGGAGGTTATTGTGTATTTAGTTTTAAACTATGTAGTAGAAGCACCGTAGAGTAGTGGAATTAGGCCAGATGAGTTCTGTGCAATTGGGAACGGCATTTTCTGTTTTCTAGGACCTGGTTTAAGAAAAAACCCACCACCATCAGAAAGCCATTTGTAATGTCTGTCTATCCTTCTTGGGGGTATACAAACTCCTCCTCCCCCTCCCCCGAGGGTGTTGAACAACTGCGGTTGTTCAGAGTGTTTTATTACATTTGTTCTGTTGATCGGTCACTTGTGTCCATTCTTTATCAAGCACAAATTTGGTTCTACTTTTCCAAAGTCATGTGTCCAGAGCTCTGAGCTTTCTGCTGAAAAAGGCCTCTTTCTATACATCACCAAGTTGTAGGTTAACTTGAAACTGCTTATAATTTCTCAGATATCACTTAACATTTCTTTTCAAGGTGTAGAAAAATGTTTAAATGCAGCCTTACAGGATAAGGATGACCAACTGAATACATTCTAGAATGTAATTATTTGTAAAAAATTATTCCTTTTTTCCTGTATAGTAACAACTCTCCATTGTGCAATCCAAAGATGAATAAAGCTGTATAAAGGGAAGGTTCTTAACTTGCATTTATTAAGACTGCAGCATGTTTCACCACTTTTGACAGAAGGCTTCAAAGAGGGTTTGTACCCCAAACACTATCCTAGTGTCAGGCGAGCAATGGTCTGGGTTTTTGACTGTGGCTCTGCATAACTGCAGAAAGGGGTAGGACCTGCAGGTGAACATTAAGCTGCTGCAAGCAACTGATGACTATGAACATGGGGGTTGGTTACATTTTAGAGGCTCAGGGTTTGTGTGTGATGATGAGCCAGGAAATGGCCTCTAAATCAGATTTAAGCCTCCAGCTGGAGAGTTAAGAACCAACACAGGTGACATCAGGAGACTCGTGCAGGAAAACGTTTGTGAGTACCTTCATCTGGCTTACTGTCACACAGAATTCAGCAGTGACTAGAGAAAGCAGATGTCAGAGCTGTAGTTGGGGGATAACAGAAAAAGTTGTGATAAACAGCACAAAAATGAAAAGAAAAACACATAAAGCTCTAACAATGCAAATTTGAGAAAAGCAATCACTCCCTGTATATGGATGGAACCTGCTACAGCAGCCCTTCAGGAGCACAGCTGAGTAAAGCCTGGGGCAGAAGCTACAGGGGCAGTGATCCAGGGGCTGATCAAGAGTATTACCCTGATCCAATGAACCACAGAGCAGCGCAGAGCATCTGGAGGAACATAAACAGAGCCCTTGCTCTAAAGCTGCCTGGTGCAGCATCAGTGGTGGGCCAGTAGAGCAGAACAAGAGGATGGCGCTGTGTGGTTTGTTTTTAACTGGAAGATGCGAAGAGCCTTTTGCTGTGAGGGGAGAGAACCGGAACACAGGAAATAGAGCTATAGCTAAAAAAAAAATGACAAAGTTCTGTGAAGCTAGGTATGTCCATATAGTACAAAAGTGGTACAATTCTAATTCTTAAAGTAAGATGTTAAAATCAACTATCTATGTTTGGGATTTTTTTAATCCTAATATTAACAAGTTGTTTTAAAACAGGATAGCTGCTGTGTGCTATTTCTGAGGCCCTACAGATTGAAGAATGGCTGTACTTAATGGCAGCATGAGGCCCAGAAACACCAGCAGAAAATCGTCACTAGCTAAATTTGAGTCCTTGTGGGTCTTCACACAGAGAAGGTACACTACTGCAGCACATGCTGTCACTAGATTAACATGCTGTTAAAGCTAAACTAGAAATCGAGTCTCCCCTACCATGGGGACTGACACATCACATTTCATTCTTCAGCTTCTGTCCACCCAAAGCTCTACTCTTCTTCAGAATACTTACCAGAAAAATGTGGTGAACATACATCCAGGTATAAAGAGATCTTTCACAATGTTAACAACGCCTGATGCAGTCACATCACTCTTTCTGTATTTCAGTATCCGTTTCTCTCATCTAGGAAGAATTTAATTTAACCAGTAATTCCTCCTGAAGCAAAGTAGTTTTGGTATGGTTTTGGAGCAGAGTTCTTTACAATGCAAAGGATTTATTTTATTCCTTTTACACCTTCCACTTTTACTGTATAGTAGCAAGAGGAGAGAGGGAGATGGGGAGCAAAAACTACTCGTAAAGTCCTCACACTTCCAGTGTGCTGTGACACTACTCCAAGGGGTCGCTCAGGCTGTAGTGTTCGGCTGACCATCAGTCTCATTAGCAGTTGATTTGCCCAGGTTATTCCAAGTGCTGGAGAGACACTGTTACCTGCTACACTAGAAAGAAAACATTACAGATTTCTGCATGTATGAATTTAATATGAATTATCTTCACTCCTGTTGTAACAAAATTACACTGGAAGCAATGATCTACTGTCTCTGTATTTACCGTCATTTGCTGTATTTAAACTTACAGGTCTTAAAACATGAAGATTAATGGGCTATCCCCACAAAGCTACATGCTGGGTTCTCTTTATATCAAGGTAATAATGGGAAGAGAAGTGATGCCATACAGAATAATTTAGTCATTCTTCCAGCTACAGCCATTGTGAACACCTGCATCTGTTCTGGTGTGTCCCCTCTTGTGATAGGAAAATAGTGATACAAAAATGGTTGAACTGTAAGTATTTGAACCATGTAACTGTTGGCCTTGGGTTCCATTTGCAGGTATATTTAACTATTCATTTCAACCTGAAGTTTAAAACGTTTTTTTTTTCCTTGCAAAGAATGCAGTCCTTCCAGTAAAGGGAATTACAACGTAACCAGGGGTGGGAGGAGGAAACTGAACCTTATCCTTGTTCTGTGTCACTTTCTGAATCTGGAGGACGTAACTAAGTTCTCGCAGAAACACATTTATGTAGCACCTACCTATCTAGTAACTCTAGATTACAGTTAGACTTCAAACAAGAAATATGTATGTTTGAATCCTGTTAATATCTTTGTGTCAAAGAGGCTTTTTTTCTTAAGCAACAAAATCAACCAGTAAGGTTTAGTTGCTGTATTTTTATAAGAAGACATAAAATGCACTCAGTTCTAGTCATAGAATCAGAATGGTTTGGGTTCGAAGGGACCTTCAAGATCATCTAGTTCCAGCCCCCTGCCATGGGCAGAGACACCTTCTACTACACTAGATTGCTCAAAGCCCCATCCAGCCTGGCCTTGAACACCCCCAGGGATGGGGCATTTGCAGCTTCTCTGGGCAACCTGTTTCAGTGTCTCACCACCCTCACAGTAAAGAAGTTCTTCCTAATATCTAATCTGAATCTGTTCTCTTCTAGGTTAAAAACCATTCCCCCTATCACTACCTGCCCTTGTAAAAAGTCCATCCCCAGCTTTCAAAGACAAGCTTTCAGAGATGAGAAGCAAAAATATTCCTGCGTAAGCAAGTACAATGGCCATTAACTTATTCCCCCTAGCTGCTGATTAGGGATTACCACATAAGCATATATGACATATACCATACCACTCTTAACACGCTCTGGTAGATTATACTGGAGTTATAAAAAATACAGTGGTTAAATGCTGCTGTGTGTGACACTGTTGCATTTCTGTTGCAGATTACTTACCTACAACCGCACTGAGCAGCTTCTGACTCGCTCACTGTATCAGTCACCTAAAACAGGAAAATGATGGTTGAAGTTGACCTGCAGTTATGCATTGGTTTTTAGCAAGCACAAGGACAGGGAAGGGAATGAAGCTACAAAAACCCAAGTTACTGGATCACATGTTAAGCCAAGTTAGAAAACCCTTATTCTTTCCAGGCAAACTAAAAAGAAGTTGTGAGGTATAATCTTAATTTACAGTACTACAACTATTTAGCTAGCTACAGGTTATATGAATTTAACTACTACCAGATGTTAAAATCGTTAAAAATAATAAAATCGGTTAAAACATTAGGAGTAACTCGAGGCTGAAATTTAAATCCTACTGAATCTTAATGGGATTCTTACTGAAAAAAAAACCACTATACATGGTTGAAAGCTGTTCTGATTACTGCTAGGTATGAATTCCAATACACTCCGCTCCAGTTATGGTAGTAAATATAAGGTTTTACACATTGTCTGTTCCATAATTCCAGAACTACTCGTAGAAACAAATCAAACGAGTTAAGAGTTGACTTGATGTTTCTAGAACATCCTTCTTCCTGATACAAAATGCTTCTTGTTTGTAACTTCTTTAGTTCAACTTTTGTTCCTACCCCATTCTCCTCTGCTGTGAGGAGGAAAATTCAGGGCTGAGTACTTACTCACTGGATGGAGGGGCCCACTGGAAAGGGAGTGTCCCAGTAGTGGATTGCCTACACGTCTACTTACCCCTTTCTGAGGCCACATTCCAAGTGTCAATGCTTTATCTCCAGCATGCACATGCTCCTTCGATTTGTGATTTGGCTAAGAGCAGTGGCATGCGACTTCTAGAGGACAGATGTAGCATCTTGTCTAGTATTCTCAAAAGACTATTACTCTTGACTAGTGCTATTGTGGGTTTTTTGGCTGCATGATTTCTAACGTTTTACTAATCTCAGCAGTTACACAGAAGTGCTGAGCTGCACAAAAATACAGCACAGTCCTTGGTGTTTCATTGCCTCCTGTGTATGTGAAATATAACTTCCCAAAGCAATCCTGCTGGCAATGGCATTTGAAGTTAGTGTTAAGAACTCCTGTTATTTTAGCTAGATACTTGGTGCAGTTTCTATATGTATCTATTTTCATCAGGTTTAATGGTCAGCCTTTGAAGTCATTAACAGTCTAAAGAACCTTAAATTATATTCTTTGAGACTTTAACAGTTACTAGTTTAAAGTACACCAGTTTAATCAAGCTTTAGTTTCCACCAGTCAATAATACTCAGTTGGCAATGTTAAATATAACACCAAGAAATCTGCATACACAGATTTCCTCCTCCCCAACCATTTACTAAATGGTCCCTCTAAACTAAGCAGCAGTTTTCATGTCATACCTGGTTAATACACATTATTGGAGTCCTGAATCTAGTGCTTAAACTGTGAAGCTGTGCTCCAAATGTCTGCAAATACCGAGCCTTCGTAACAGAATCTGAAGCTCCAAATTCACATCGAAATAAGGCAGCAATAGAATCGATGACCACCAACCGCACCATGCCTCTTGTAAGCAGCAGGGAAATCCTCTTAGTAATGCAGTTGTGAAAGGTATCCTACCGTGAAATACAGTCAGTATTAGAACAGTTCAAATACCCGTTTGTAAAATTGAGGTAGTAACTACAGATAGCATTGCTGAAACAGAAGCTGATGGAGTTTCTAATCATAAAGTGAGTTTGTGGGGCTTTAAGCCTCACCAGTAACCATTTTTCACAAACGTCTTCTGCTTTAAGAATAAAGAGATCTGGTCATTTAGAATCATAGAACAGTTAGGGTTGGAAAGGACCTTAAGATCATCTAGTTCCAACCCCCCCTGCCATGAAATCTAACTGCATGTACAGTTATCTGCAGCTCTGACTTGAGTCAGCTGTTTACTAATATTTCAAATCTCAAGAATGCAATACTACCATCCTAAGCCATTCTATTTTGCAAGAGTGGTTCTCATTGAAACACTGAGAACTCAAGACTAATATTAAATATTTAAAACCAAAGTTATAGACTACATCACTGTTCCATTAAAGATACATTAGCAGTAAAATACACAGTTGCTACACCAAATCCATATTGACTGAGAGGCTTAATCAATGAACACTGCAACTTACATCCTCCCTCCCTGTTCCAGTTTTATTAATTTAATATTTTGAAGTCACCAAACACTTCAGTTGCAGGATCTTTAACTAACAAATATTTTGTAGAGCTCAGCATCTATTATATAATAAGGTCATTGTAGCCTGGTGCTTGTCTTTAACAATGTGGTCTACAGCAGCTGAGTGGAAAGGAGAACAAGCTCACAGTGATAATCTCTGCTTCTGGCCATCAGAAATTTCAGTGTTGGCAAGAAAAAAATAAAATAATGTGAGGGTCACACTTCTGACTGGTGCCACTCTTTACATCGAAGAGAGGTTCCCAGCTAGGAGCTTGCATTCAGACAAAATAAAATATCCTCCAGCATTCCACAGCTTTTCAAGTTGAACTGGAATTCTCCAGTCTGAGTTACAGTGAGTTCTATTCTACTGAATGAGCAGCTTTCTACAAAACATTATAATAGCAAAGGCTTTTCATTTTTTTTAACTGATGGGAAAGAGTTGCTCTGAAGAATATACAGCTACTTTCCATTCTGGAAAAGGGATTTTTTTGTTGTTGTTTCTTTTGTTTCACTTACTGATACATCTACAGGAAACTATGCAGCACTTCAAACACTTCTGTGTTGTAAGTGGTCCTTCTGTTTGCACAAGACTCATTCTTTTCAAGTGAATACACAACTGGATTCTTCTGCATGAAGCAAGTAAAAACAACTTTGGTGTGAAAGAAAATGCAGACCATAATTGTGACTTGGGTTTCTACTTCAGCTGCTGTCATCTGCCTATGTATATGGATACACACACAAACAAAACCTGAATCTATATATAACAATTTATGAATTGTAACCATCTAATGTGCAGTTACTGGACTTACCAATGAGTGTGATGTTTTACTTTTAAAGGTATTTTAGAGAGATGTACATACTAGTATTGGGCAGTTCTCTCATTTATATAATAACATACTCTGTAGCTTCCAGAAACTACAATTAGAAGTTTAAGACTTCCAGTGAAAGGGACACGGAGAAGGTAGCTTAGCTGCTGAATGGACTACACAGTAAGTGGTAAGCTTACTGATGTACAGGATCTTCTTACACTTGCAAACTACAATTCAAAAATACCAACAACTGGAATGATTTCAGAGATGCTACTTGCAAGCCTTAGAGAAAACAGAACTTCAGATGTTCTATCAGTAAAGAGCATTATTAACAGCTACTTAAGAAAAGCACAACAAAGGACGTTTACAAGGCAAAAACACAGTACTCAGGTTGTATATTTTCCCCTCCAGTTCTACTATGGCATCTTACAGGTAAAGGGGCAAGAGGTTTTAATAAACATAACGACTTATAAAAATTCACTATATTATTTATTCTTTAAAAATATTTATATTTTAATATACTTCATAAAAATACTGTAATAGTTCTTTAACAACAAATGGGAGAGATTAAGTAGTATTCATTACAAATCTTAGATCACTCAACCTTTTTGTAAGGTCTCCTATTTGAAGAAAATCACCCTGAGGTTACTGGATTATAGTGTAATAATTGTACACTCTTAATTTGTGTTACTACTTACTAGGTCTGCTGCATGTTCGACAAAAATACTGTTTCCAAATTTGATCTTCTGTATGACTTCAGTTGGAACATCTGCTCGCAGCTTATGTTGTTGATCTATGAGTTGTTGCAAACGTTTACTTGGGAAGACATCTTCTGTACAAATGTAGACAGCTCCTACAGTCAAGGAAAGCACCGTTGTTATTACAACAGGGCTCTTACACACCCTTTGCTTAACAGCACAAAAATAATACGCTTGCAGCCCAGAAAGCCAACTTTATCCTGGGCTGCATCAAAAGGAGCATGACCAGCAGGTCGAAGGAGGTGATCCTGCCCCTCTACTCTGCTCTCGTGAGACCTCACTTGGAGTATTGTGTGCAGTTCTGGTGTCCTCAACATAAAAAGGACATGGAACTGTTGGAACAAGTCCAGAGGAGGGCCATGAGGATGATCAGGGGACTGGAGCACCTCCCGTAGGAAGACAGGCTGAGAAAGTTGGGGCTGCTCAGCCTGGAGAAGAGAAGACTGCGTGGAGACCTCATAGCAGGCTTCCAGTATCTGAAGGGGGCTATAGGAATGCTGGGGAGGGACTCTTCATTAGGGACTGTAGTGATAGGACAAGGGGTAACGGGTTGAAACTTAAACAGGGGAAGTTTAGATTTGATATAAGGAGGAAATTCTTTCCTGTTAGGGTGGTGAGGCACTGGAATGGGTTGCCCAGGAGGTTGTAAATGCTCCATCCCTGGCAGTGTTCAAGGCCAGGTTGGACAAGGCCTTGGGTGAGAGGGTTTAGTGTGAGGTGTCCCTGCCCATGGCAGGGGGGTTGGAACTTGATGATCTTAAGGTCCTTTCCAACCCTAACTATTCTAACTATTCTATAATACATTCTGCACCCAAAAGCTAGATGTGTACCTGGAAATTCATGTTACTGTTTTTTGTAGCCATATTGAATCAATTATGAACAACAAAAAACCCACTCTTATGACTTTCCCATAGTTGCCAGGTCCTGTTTTTGGTGCCTGCTGATACGATTGGGTTTTTTGTACTCTCCACTAGGTGACACTCATCTTACATAGTGGTGGAACACCTCAACCATCTAAATCGGGTTATTACAGGTATCATAATTTATCCAATCCACAAACAGAGGAACGCCTCAGAGTTTGCCTATTCTGGTCAGAAATATAATGCACAGCAGTGAACTGTGAAGAAAATTCCCTGTCCCTGCCAGACACAGTACTTTCACTCACTGTTTTTAACATCCTTGTTTTAAATTTACAAGTGGAGGGGTACTTATTGCTACAATGGGTAAGTCTGTTTAAAGAGGATCACTCATCCAATCTCAGTCCAATTAACTCTTTCCTGAAAATGACAGATTAGATAAGAAGTATTATACTTCAATCCTATTACTGTGAGTGATAGCTATGTATTTTTACTGTGGTTTCTGGTTAACAAGTATGTGTTATTGCAGAGAAAATTAACCATACGCATCAAAGATGCTGGGGAAATCAAACAAATTATGCAATATTTATTAAAAAAAAATAAAACTGTTACTGTTACTGCAGAACTACCTGGAATTATCAGCTAATACTTGAAGGGTTACATCTAAGGATTAAGTCCACTCACTGAAGTGACTGATGCTGCTAACACAGTTTAGCAGCTGATGTGTTTGGCAATCTGTGATATCCTGAACATTTCCATCCCAATGGTGGAAAGTCCCATTTCCAGAAGCAACTTCCAAATCCTTTATATGTTCCATTGAAAAAATTATGAAAACTATATCTCCAACAGCAGGAACTGAGAGATCTCAGGATGGGATCACGTGGAAATCAAAAGTTACTTTATCAATAAAAATATTTTGCTAATGGACACCTGTATAACACAGGGTATTGAATTCTGAGAATGTAAGACAAAGATGAAGCTAATAATTTTGACAGCTGAGATTTAAAGAACTTCCTAAATTATTGTCACATGGACAAATGCTTCATCATCATCCATGCCTTCCACAGGAGGTCCTGAAATATTTCCACAGTTTCTATTTTCATCCTACTTAATAACAGTTTCAAGTTATACTTCAGCTCCTTTTTACTTTCTTTGGCTCTGGCAGCCAACAGCACTTATCACTCAAATTCAGCCTCCATTCTTAACTGCCCAGTTTCATTGTGTATATACTCATGTCCATGAGGGGTGTTAGCAGTTTGTAACATTTGGCAGTGAATAAGGACTGCAATAGAGCATTAGCAGTCTGAGCTGTCATGATCTCATCATGATTCCTGAACTACCGTATACAAAACTTAAGAAGTTGAACCATGAATATGTTCTGGATTTTGCCCACTTTTTTTCCTAGCACTTGAGTGGATGGAATAAATGCTGCCTTCAGTAATTACAGCTGAAGCAATTTGCAATACCTGCAGACACAAATGAGTGCAGGTACAAGGTTCTATCAGCAAAGGAAAATTTTAAATAAATAAATGAATAAATGAGCCCACATTTACTTGACTCCATGAAGTTTACAGTGATAATCAGCAGCTTCTTAAATAGTGCCTGAAGTTGGGTGAAGCTCAGGCAAGGAAAACACAGTAACCTATTAATTATATCACTTAACTGCTAAAGGCTTTTTAAGTAGCTAATTAGTAAACAATTAATTACGTGAACCTTAATTTTCTTCACTATTTCCCTAGGTTAATTTCTCCTAATTGGGACTAATTTTCCTATCCCTTTCCAACTTGACAGTGACAGCTGAGTATCAAATAGGCAGGTGAGTACCTTTACTAAGGCCTTTACTACTGATTCCCAATCAGGTTTCAGTTTCACAATTTCTAAAAAGCTAAGTCAAGAAAAATGTCTAATCACAAGGTATATCTAGCACCAACACTCACTCAGAGCAGCAATTATGTCGTGAAACACACCACAAAGCTGAAAATCACAATGGTGCAAATTAAAAAGCAAGTAAACAAAGAAACAAAGAAAACCCACCAAGATATGCAGCTTCCTTAAGCCCATGTTGCTTCTGAATTTCATACTGACAAAAGCTGTGCTAACTTGTGTTGAGATAATTCCTAAAGTAAATGGATTTCTCAACCACCATTCTTAATCACAGCTGACTGCCTTTTGCACAATATTGCCTGTTTCTGAAAGACAGGGACTTTTTTACCGTGAATAGTGGCTTACAGAGAAATCATCTGCTTTTTAAAGATCAGACCTGCTTCTAAGTGATATGTCCCTTGTCCTCTCCTTGGTTTACCTAGAAAGCACAGAATGTCTACTACTTGAGACTTCATGGTGTTTAAAACCAGATTTGTGTTTCTACATAGATAGGTGCTTCACTGATTGCATAATTGTATTTCAATCTGGAGTTACTGCAACATTCGAACATTTCAAAGCAGAGAATTTTTCCCTAAATTAACTTATCTAGACAAAAAGAAACATAAAATCCTCCTTAAGATCTTTGTTGCAGATAATTTCAGTACAGTAATAAGAAAAGTGATAAGAACAAACGTAAGGGAAAAGCAGAAGAGTACAAAACAATCAAGCAATCTTACTGTTTTACAAACATATATGCAGCTGTGGCCAGGTTTCATGTTTATACCTGATGAACAAGAAATTCGAGGCTAACAAGATAACTGTGAAGTGGTAATAATACCTGTAGGGAAAAACGAACTGCTGGAGAAGCAAAAAACTGGTCCTCTCTCCTCCACTGGTCCAGTAGCCTACATTTAAAAATCCTGGTCAGTAGATACACACTAACCTCTTTGTAAAACCATGACAGCAGTTCTGAAGTTCAAGTGAGCTCATTTAGTCAGGTTAACTCTTTTTAGTGAAATACTTGTTAAAAAAAAAGAAAAAAAAAACCAAAAGAATCAAGAATTCCTTCTTAATAACAGTTCTACTTCATAGAGTATTCTCTGCCTCGGTTCAGTTTTGTAAATACCAGCATTCACACCTACCAACCTTGCACTCTTCTGTAACACTTCTTTGACATCAGGTAAATCCACTACAGCAGATTTTGTACTCTGAATACGTAACTAATCCATTTGTGATGGACACAAGGACAACCTGTTTTTTCTTGAACTGCTGCCCATTTCACAAAACATGTATGCAATCTGCATCTTGAACTTTAAGAGTTAAATGACATAAAATACATCAGATGAGCTTTGCCTCGGCTTAAAATTTGAGTTGCACAGTACAATGAGAATAGCGCTCTCTCCTGCTGGACCTTCATCAAGCCTTTTCAGTTTTTATTTGAAGCACAAACTTCAGCTTGAGCCACAATTTAATGTTTGATTAAGCGAACACACACCTAGGCATTAAAAATGTAGGTACTTCATAGCCAAGTTACAATGGCTAGAAAAGATTGACAAATACCTAAACTCAGTATAAAAGGCTGATGCCTAATTATGAGGCAAAAGCACTAAATATTCATGTCTCTTTAAAGATAAATGAATTGCCATAACCTAAAAAACAAGAGGACAGTAGTACAAGGCAAACAGAAAAGCCTATGACATAGTGCTATTTACAGTTTATTAAGAAGTTGTCAACACTAATAAGTCAAGAATCAGGGTAGTTACCACTTTTGAGAAAGAAGCTGAGAGAAGTTCTTAATGAGTCAGTTGTCCTCAGTAATTCTATAAACATTATTCCTCACAAAAACTTTTGTTTCAAAGCAATTGCATCAAATCCCAGTGCTCTACTTTCAGTTAGACTGATGGAAGTGGTTGCTGACCAAAAACCACCCTAAAGCAAAACAAACAAAAATTAAACACACCAAAAAAAACACCCTCCTTCAAGGGACAAATTTTGAGTCCTGTGAACCTGATTTGTCATGCACCAAACCAGCCTGTTACAAAGAATCAGTAGCAGACTTTTTCTAATTCAGAACTCTAATATGGATCTGAATTTGTCATGTTATATTCTTGCATTACTTATGAATATAAAATAAATTCAGCCAACACGCAACTGACCATAACTGACATTCTTTGAATGGCAGAAAGAGAACCTGGGGGCAAAGCATGTCCTAATTTCTGTTTGCTGCCAGCCTCATAGCACTCAGAATTGTAAGCAAGATTAGCACTAAGTCAAATGAAGGAAATACACAATAATTCCATACTGTCTAAAGAAACGTATTTCAACATCACCACCTTAGAGAGGGGAAGTTTCTAGCACTAAAACAACCCCAAACACAACCAAAACCAACAGCAAAAGAACACAAACAACCCCCTCCCAAAAACCCCAACATAATTCTAAACCTGTAGCAAAGTCTTAGCACCAAGATTAATCTCCTATTGGTAGCATTAGGCTACTGTGATAGTGACTAAGCACTGTTGTTGTTCTCAAGCTTCCTAAAGAATAAAACGTCTCATACTTAACGTTTTTAGTTCCTGTGTTTCTCATGAGAGACTCAACATAAACCCTTACTTACAGACTGAAGCAAAATCAAGTTTCATTTTCTGTGTGCTATGTAAACAGTATCTTCTGCTATGACTGCATGCCTTGTAACATATGGGAAGCTGAGAGGAAGCAGCACTGCTTGCTCCAGGCCCAAACTGTGCAGGGGCTTCAAGCATCCATTGTAGCTTATGGAGGAAAGAAGCAGGCCGTTAACCTTGTAAGCTGGGAAATAGTAACAAAAAAAAAAACCAAAAAGAACCCAAAAAAAAAAAAAGGAAGAAGAGGACAATTAAAAGCAAGGGGCTTCCTCCTAAATCTGTTGTCCCCACCCAGAGCCGCTTTGCAGTTCTGCAGGGGGCTGCTGAGGAAACACCCTTGCAACATTAACAACAGGCTGAGGCACTGCTAAAGAAGATCTCTACTTGTGCTGCCAGGAAAAAGCTGCGGGTCATAGTGGTAGGGGACTCTACTTTGAAAGGGACAAAGGTACCCATCTGTTGGCTTGACCGAGTCTCAATGGAGGTGTGTTGCCTGCCAGGGGCACAGAACAGGGATGTTGCAGAGAGGTTGCCTCACCTAGTGAGTCCCACTGGCTATTACCCACTTCTAGTCATCCATGTGGGTACTGATGTAGACAGCAGTAGCCTGGAGAACATGAAGAAGGACTACAGAGCACTGGGAGAGGTGGTTAAGGGCTCCAGAGCTCAGATAGTCTTTTTGTCAATTCTTCAGGATACAGGGGAGGACCTTAAAAAGGCTGGAAGGATTGCCCAGGTTAATAAATGGTTAAAAGGGTGGTGCCATAGTCAGGGGTTTGGGTGTCTTAAACACGGGAACCAGGTTTGTAGGCCAGGTCTACTGAAGGCTGGTGGAGCTGAAGAGGTGCAGTTTTGGTAGGAGGCTTGCCAGGCTAGTCAAAAAAGGTTTAAACTAGATGTGTTGAGGGAGGGGGGCATCATTCCACCCCAACACACCCAGTCAGTTGCCAGCACCTATAATAAATGCTCGGAGCAACGTAGAGATATTCCAGCCGCTCCAGCCAATGAGCCGGCTACATTTGGAGCTCGCCTGAGATGCCTCTATACAAACGCCCATAGCATGGGGAACAAACAAGAAGAATTAGAGATGTGTGCACATCTACAGGGGTATGATATAATAGGCATCACAGAAACATGGTGGGATGGCTCCTATGACTGGAGTGTTGGAATGGAAGGTTACAGGCTCTTTAGAAAAGACAGGCCTGGGAGGTGGGGAGGGGGAGTTGCTGTTTATGTTAGAGATAGGCTGGAGAGTATGGAACTCTGGCTGGGGACAGGTGAGCAGTCAACAGAGAGTTTGTGGGTCAGGGTTAAAGGGAAAACAGCGATGGGAGACATTACTGTGGGGATCTGTTACAGACCGACTGGTCAAGAGGACTCTGTGGATGAAGCACTCTACAGATAGGAAAGCCTCACATTCACAGGCCCTTGTTCTCATGGGGGACTTCAACCACCCTGATATCTGTTGGAGGGATGGTATGGTCCGGCACAAGCAATCCAGAAGGTTCCTTGATTGTGTGGAAGACAACTTTCTTCTGCAAGTAATAGAGGAGCCAACAAGGAGAGGTGCCATGCTTGACCTCAAGCTCACCAACAGGGAAGGGCTCATTGGAAATGTGGTGCTCCAGGGCAGCCTTGGATGCAGCGATCATGAGATGGTTGAGTTCGAGATCCTCAGGACAGTTACAAGAGTGTGCAGCAAGCTCACTGCCCTGGACTTCAAGAGAGGAGACTTTGGCCTCTTCAGGAACCTGCTTAGTAAGGTTCCATGGGATATAGCCCTAGAGGGCAGGGGGGCCCCCAAGACTGCTGGTTGATATTCAAGGATCACCTGCTACAAGCTCAGAAGTGGCTAAGCCACTGTCCATCATATTTGAAAAATCATGGCAGTCAGGTGAAGTTCCCGATGACTGGAAAAAGGGAAATATAACCCCCATTTTCAAGAAGGGGAAAATGGATGACCTGGGAATTACAGACCAGTCAGTCTCACCTCTGTGCCTGGCAAAATCTTGGAGCAGATTCTCCTGGAAGGCATGCTAAGGCACATGAAAAACAACAAGGTGCTTGGTGACAGCCAGCATGGCTTCACTAAGGGGAAATCCTGCCTGACCAATTTGGTGGCCTTCTATGATGGGGCTACAGAACTGATGGACAAGGGTACAGCAGTTGATGTCATCTACCTTGACTTGTGTAAAGTATTTGACACTGTCCCACACGACATCCTTGTCTCTAAATTGGAGAGACATCAACTTGATGAATGGACCACTCAGTGGATAAAGAACTGGCTGGATGGCCGCACACAAAGAGTTGTGGTCAATGGCTCAGTGTTCAGCTAGAGACCAGTAACGAGTAGTGTCCCTCAGGGATCGGTGTTGGGATCAGCCTTGTTCAACATCTTTGTTGCTGACATGGACAATGGGATTGAGTGCACCCTCAGCAAGTTTGCTGATAACACCAAGCTGAGTGGTTCAGTTGATACGCTGGAGGGAAGGAATGCCATCCAGAGGGACCTTGACACACTTGTGAGGTGGGCTGATGCCAACCTCATGAAGTGCAAGGTCCTGCACCTGGGTGGGAGCAATCTCACGTACAGCTACAGGTTGGGCAGGGAAGAGATTCAGAGCGGCCCTGTGGAGAAGGACTTGCGGGTGTTGGTTGATGAGAAAATGAACATGAGGCAGCTTCAGTGTGCACTCACAGCCCAGAAAGCCAACCGTAACCTGGGCTGCATCAAAAAGAGCATGACCAGCAGGTCGAAGGAGGTGATCCTGCCCCTTTATTCTGCTCTTGTGAGACCTCACTTGGAGTATTGTGTGCAGTTCTGGTGTCCTCAACATAAAAAGGACATGGAACTGTTGGAACAAGTCCAGAGGAGGGCCACGAGAATGATCAGGGGAATGGAGCACCTCCCATATGAAGACAGGCTGAGAAAGTTGGGGCTGCTCAGCCTGGAGAAGAGAAGGCTGCGTGGAGACCTCATAGCAGCATTCCAGTATCTGAAGGGGGCCTATAAGGATGCTGGGGAGGGACTCTTCATTACGGACTGTAGTGATAGGACATGGGGTAATGGGTTGAAACTTAAACAGGGGAAGTTTAGATTGGATATAAGGAGGAAATTCTTTCCAGTTAAGGTGGTGAGGCACTAGAATGGGTTGCCCAGGGAAGTTGTGAATGCTCCATCCCTGGCAGTGTTCAAGGCCAGGTTGGACAGAGCCTTGGGTGAGATGGTTTGGTGTGAGGTGTCCCTACCCACGGCAGGGGGGTTGGAACTAGGTGATCTTAAGGTCCTTTCCAACCCTAACTATTCTATGATTCTAAAATCTGACTGAGAGTAAAGAGTTGCAAGAATTAGGATTCTAACCCTCCCTTAACTGTCCAACTCCAGCAGCAGGGTATTTCCATCTTCTATACCTTCATGATCCTCAAACATGCTGTCCTCTGAGCCCTTCCAAAACACTTTGGTTCTCTCACAGAAGCACTGATATGATGGCCCGGCCATTCTAGCCTATCTTCCATGAGACACTTAGGATTGGGTAGATGTGGAACACAGGCAGAACAAAGCAATCCTACTAGCACCAAGTACAAGATGCGTAAGAAACAAGAACCATCTTCAAACACAATTAATGAAAAGACTTGCCATTTTGCAGCCCTACAACGTATGGCACAAGAGACAAGAGTGTCATAAAGATGTTGGGCACCTTCTGTGCTCTGTTCTGGTTTGTTTCAACATAAATCAGGACTAGTGTTGGAGCACAAATCAAATGTGTATGCATTCAAACTATTTGCAGCAGTTACCAGCAACACACCAAGGAATCAAACGAAAGATATGCTTCTGCTCTGATTAATGACGTAAATTGAAATAAAGTAACGTAAGCCACAGGCTAATTACAGCCCTTTAAGCAAGATTTTCATTTGGACATTCCACAATTTTTCCATATGGGTAGATATAGTACTAGAAATAATTAAGTATCCCCACAACAAACAACTGAGCTGCCAAAATAAAGCCAGTGCTGCATAGAAGGAAGGTCAAGATCACAGCCAAAACACACCTAAGTCAAATTACCAGGACACCAAATTCTTAGACTTGACAGAAGTTTCCTTCCTTTCTAACACAGCATAGAACACTAGAAAAAAACTAGTAAATATTAGGAGTTAGATTAATGTGACAGACAGTCAAAAACTGATACTCAAAGAACAGACCTGTATACTTTGGCAAAGCCACACAAAACATTAACTGTCCTTAATTATATTTCCATCAATTTTACTCTGTAAATCCCTGTAATTATAGTTATCAAAATAAATACTCTTTGAAATTCAAAATCCCCAACTCAGGTATAACACATACCAGAGGTGTCTGTGGAAAATCATCAGACAAGCTGTTTTGCTGTGGTTGATACCTGAGGAGTCAGTGACTACTTACAACAGCAGTGCTTTTCATATATTCATATATTCTAGTTTAACCACAGCAGCAGGTAAGCAAATAACAGCCAACAGTAATTTTGTATTAAGTTATGTGATGCCAGGCATGTGCAGAGCATACTTTTCTCTCTATGACAATTAATAAGTAGCTTACTACTAAAGCTGTAAGGGTAAGACATCACTGAATATGTGCATCTACTTCAGTGCACTGATGGCTTTAAGCTGACAGAGGGGAGATTAGACATTAAATAAAAATTCTTCCTTATGAGGGCGGTGAGACCCTGGCACAGGTTGCCCAGAAAAGCTGTGGATGCCTCATCCGTGGCAGCGTTCTAGGCCAGGGTGTATAGGGCTTTGAGTAACCTGGTGTACTGGAAGGTGTCCCTGCCTATGGCAGGGGACTGGAAGTAGGTGATCTTAAGTGGCTTTTCAACCCAAACCATTCTATTATTCTATGATGTTCTTAAAACAGTATTTCCTCAAAATGCCAAATTAATCAGTACTTACATTTCAGTACTTACCAGACTCTAATCCACCATATTTGTAAGGATACTGCACACAAAGGCACAGCTGTAAGCTAATCTGAGTCTTCCCAGCAGAACTTTCCCCGGCAACTTCTGTGATTCCCACTAAAGGAATGCCACCTTTTAACAAGTTATCTAGTACTGAACATCCAAGGCTTAGCTTCTGGTGCTGAGAGGTGCGATGATCTTTATCTTGGTAAAGCTGAAGTGCTGCAGGGTTTGAGGTGTTGTTTTTTTTTTAATATTAAAAAGGGAAAAAAAAAGAAAAAAAAGAGGAGTTTCATTCAGTACCTTTCCAACATGCAATGATACAAAATAGAAGCTGTATACCAAAGGTATGCCTATAAGAGATGCTGGCTTTGTTGATGGGAATTTTTCTGATTCAGCCTCATCTTTCCACCTCCCTTTCCCCACAGGCCCTACTAACCAAATACCTGCTTAAAAGCTGAGAGTTTACACTGAGCCCTTTCCGCCTCTCAAAGCTTATTTTCCTTTCTCTGCCTCCAAAGAGTTTCTGTGGGAAACTATAGCCTCAGAAAATACTGCCAGCAAGGTTCAAGCACAGTTATGCTAAATGGAAAGCTACAGCAGACTATGAAACTGTGTAGCAGGCATCTCGCCAAAGCCTGAAGACATATGCACATAAAAAAATAAATTTTAATACAGAGCTGCCATGAGGCATTTGTACAGGAGGAACTACTAGGTCCTTCTTGTTTTGGAATGAGATGTTTATATCAAATCAGTTTATGTAGTTTTTTAATATGTAAGTTTTTCAACCAGTCTTAGTCCAAAAGAAAAATTGCAAGAGGGGGAGAGAGAGTGAGAAAGAAAAAATAAATGTTTTGTTCCTTTAATCAAGTTTTTCAGACTGGAGAATTATTTTGTTCTGTTTCAAGCCGGCTTGATCTTGAAGAATGACACCCACCCACTTCTGTGTACCTTTAAGGTCTCTAAGAGGAGCTGTCCTTTGCATAGTTAAGTAATTCACCATAGCACTATAGAAACACTTGCCTTTTCATTTTCAGAGTTGCATTACTGAGTCAATGAGGAGCCAAAACCATATTTTCTCCCAGTGAGAGGTATTTTAAGACTTAAATAGAACAGGGGGGTTTGTATTGACTGTACTACCTGTAAGCATACTGTTTCTCCTTAGCATGTGAGAGACCGTTTTCAATAAGCACTGTATATCTGCACTGGACAGTTTCATCAATCGTTGCAAGTCTGCTCCAGAAAGATTTAAAATCTCCTTTATTGATTTTATGTCAGCTGAAATTAGAAGAAGTTTGATAAGTACTTTGGGGTAGATTACAGTTTTATGCACAAAAGTAAGAGTCTTCCCACTTCCTACTACTCATTTACTTTGTCTACCCTGCATTCTTGTAAGCTGGGCAGGCAACACTTGCTTTAAATGCACCAACACATGCTATAAAATTGTTTGGAAAATGATTATCGGAGCATGGGCAAAAGCCATAATTTCAAGTTATTCAAAAAACTTGCTTATGAAACAATTACAGTTCTAAAATGCTAATGTACATCTATATGCTTATACCCACAGAAGAAAGACACTTTGCTGACGGATCTATTAGTGAGACACTGGCAAAATAAGTTACCTTTCTTAAGGGCAGCAATTACTCTAGGGTTCAAGTCAAACTGGTCCCAATCCATTTTCTGATACAGCACCCAGATGAACAGTGCATCAGGCAATCATCTGTAATTAAAGTGGGTTTTATCAGATATATATGCAACAAGACAAGTAAGCATCATTCAAAAGTCTCTAGTATACATTCTTACTTTTTAATGATACATTTATCAGTTATTTTAGAAAAATAATTATTCAGCACATTGGCAGAAGTCTTCTCAGACAGTTGTTGACATATATACCCTGTTAAAGAGTTCAACCTGTAATACTGCTGTTAAGAGCTACTAGCCACTTGTAATGGCTTACAATGGCTTGTAACTCTGCATAGTGCTTTTGCTCTGGATTGAACAAAGCCCACAAATATGTTGGACAGTCATTTCTATCCAGACACTTTTTACATCAGTTTTTAATTTTCAAATAGAAAATAAATCTTATGCATGTGCAACGTACGATGATCCAGGACCATTCATACATAGGTTAGTCAAACGTATATTGATTAACGAATAGCAAATTTAGCATTAAAACATTAAAATCAGTTTGTTTCTTGAAACAACATTAAACACTTTTTAATACTTTGATCTGAAACACAATAACTTAGCACTAGAGTTGCCCGGAAGAGGTTTGTTACTATCATTCAGATCATCGTTATGAAGGCTTGAGGCAGACCCAAGGGAGTTAGGTAAGAATATACGACATAATGAACAATCCCTTTTTTAACATGGAGGAGAAGTTGCCGTGGATCCCGACGGCAGAACAAATACAGGAAAAGAAATAGTTATGTTTGAGCAACACCTATGTAAAGCAGCATTCTGACAAGAGCTAGAAGTCAAAGCTTACTGATGTCAATCATGATTATGGTGACCTCTGACAGGACGGGTTCCAAACCATTTTGTACAGCCCGGGCACACAAAGCCGCTCCAGGGCGACCACCGTTTGAGGCCCTAAGAGAGAAATCAGGAGAAACAAGTCACGGAGAAGTCAGGCGGCTCCCACGTATGAAGCGCCGCGGAGGCCGCCCGGATCTGCCACAGCCCTAGCCCAAGGAAAGGCGAACGGGACAGAAGGGAGTGCAGTGAGGGCCCGCGGAGGGAAGGCAGGGCAGCAGGGCCCACCGCAGCACAGCACCAGCCACCCAGCTCTGCCCTGACAGAAACCACCCAAGCACGGCGCGCGCCCTCAGCCCGCTTACGAACCCACCGCCAGAGCCACCGCAACAACCCGTAGCCAATGGGCGAGCAGCGTACCTGTGACGTCACTTGCTGCAGGCCAATCAAAACTCCTCAAAGCCACCGCTCCGGCAGGACAGCCAATGGTAGGGCGCTGCTTCAAGGAGTGGGCGGGACTCTCTTAGCTGCCGTCGCTATCGCTGATTGGCTATCACGCTTCCCCCAACACGGAACACGAGGAGTGACTGTGGCGCGCATGCCCTTCCCTTCCGGGTTGTGGGGCCGACAATTCCAGTTGCACATGCGCCCCGAGCACCTAAAGGGGTGTGGAAGGAATAACACGCCTACTTTAAATTCCAAGCAATAGGGGATTGGCTGGGAAGTCCAGAGGCAGTGTTTTATTGGGTGTCTGGAGAGAGTGGGCGGAGCCTGGAGGCGCCTTGCTTTTCATTGGTAGTGCTCCATGCCTGTTTGGGAGGGTTTGGGTGGTCATTGGGTAGTGGCGGTGTCTGCACGGCGCCGAGGGGCAGCGTAGCGGTGGCGGAGTTTGAGGGGAAGATGTCGGGTTGTGAGGCCCGCGATGCCAAGAAGCTGGTGCGGTCGCCCAGCGGGCTGCGCATGGTGCCTGAGCACCGCTCTGCCCGCAGCCCCTTCGGCCTGGACGAGCCGCCCTGGGTGCCTGACAAGGAGGTATCGGTAGGGGCGGGGGCGCCACTCTTCCCTAGGTGTATGGGGCTTCTCTGCGCGCCCCAAAGTCGGCACGTTGTCCTCGGGGCCCTCGCCGCCTCAGGGACCGCTGCCCTGTAGGGAGCCGGGACACGATTCGCCTGGCCGGCGATCGAGCGTTGAGATGGCGCTTCTTCTCTTTTTTGGCGCGTCCCTGCCGTCCCCCCGCCGTCGCTACCTGTCGGGTTCCGGCGGTGGTCGGGTGGCGGGGGCTCGCCCGGGGGCCGATGAGTGGCGGGCAGCCTCGTTTCGCCAGGTAGCGGGTCGGGATTGTGGATGTGAATCACAGGGCTTTTATTTCGCATAGATCAACGGACTGAAAGGGCAGGGCTCTCGCTCGTTCTCCGGGAATGTGCGCCCTCTCACAAAAATGAGTGTGAAACTGAACGAGTTAAAAGTGCTGTGAGCATTTGCTGTGAAGTATTCGCTTTAAATCCCTATAAATCTAATTCTGAAGACCGTGTTGATTTAAAAAAGAATGTGGCAAAGTGATAAGGCAGTAGGGCTAAGTAAGAACAGCCCCTTTGGCTCCCTGTGCGAATGTTGGTAGCCTTAAAAGAGTATTGAATAGCATAGATCGTTTCAATCAACTTTTGTTTTAAACACTTTCCAAGTAAACTGTGTGATCATGATGTTGTATTAAATTTCATGTCTCATGCATTATTTGCTACAGGCCCTTACAGCTAGATGTTAATATAACTTTAGAGTCAGTTGTTTCTTTATTGCCAGTGTTCTGTGGTGTGGATGCATGCCAATGAATTTAAATGTGACTGGAATTAAGATTTTAGATGGGCCAATATGAATTTAAGCAGGGAGCTGTTGTACAGAGCCGTTCTTTGCCAGATACTGACATGGTTGGTCTGTTCTGCATGGGAACACTATGTCCTTTCTGGTTAGGAATGAGGAAGAAAGTTTCTTCCCTATGTGGTATCTGTGGAAGTGAAAAGTTGTGTGTAAAAGTAGTAACTCTGGAAATTCGCATTGCTAGCACAGCTTCTGCAGCTCAGACTAACCTTTACTGGCACAAGGTGTGTGACTAGTGAGTCACTTGCTGGTTTTGTCCAAATTAACCCTGCTTTGTAAAGTGCCTTTTTCAACTTATTTAAACAAGCAGTCTGCTAAAATATTTTGTGGGTGTTTTCCTGAGTTATTTCCCTCCATACTTAGAGAATTAAAAAAACCCCTCCCTGTCATCACTGGTTCTGTCTCATAAGTGTAGGTAAGACAAAAATGTCAGTGTCCGGAGCTGAGTCATTAGAAGGTATCTGAAGCCAGCCAGCACCACGTGTTGGTGCACTGGGTGTGTTGCAGATGGGGTGTGTATTTATCAGTTTGTACCAAAGTCTGAGCAGTTATTGTGCAAGTGATTTCCCTTTGCATTGTGTGGCGTCTGCTTTTGCTGTGTTGGTGATTTGCACCTGTGTGCACTCACTCACCTGGGCTACCCAGAAACCTGATTCCTGGCAGCAACAGCATCAGTGACTATAACTTGTGCAACAGTTAAATTAAAATTACTTCTCTCCTTGACCTTCTGAAGTGTAGTTTTGTATTTCAGTAGTCCTTGATTATGGCAGACTATTTTCATTAAAAAAATACCCAAACCCCAAAGTACTTCTAACTCGGTCTAATCCATAATGCCGTCTTAATTCAACTAGAGGTTGTTTGAGGATTGTGTTGGGGTTTATTTAAACTAATTAGATGTATTTAAGTCTGTATATTTCGAATGTGTAAGTTTGTTGTTTCTTGTTTTTTGAATATGATGTTACAGTTTTACTATAGGTATTCATACTCTGTAAGCCTGACTTTTCCCCCTTGTAGTCTGTTGTCAGTGGGTTGATGGTGTTGATGTGAGACTGAGCATTTGCATCAGACTTGGTGACATTTGCTGTTGAGAGGAATTAGCATTTAAATGCATGTAAATGAATTTGTTAATCCATACTATTAATCATTTAAATTATTAAATTTAGATGCATTTGTTAATCCATGTTATTAATAATTTAAATGATTAATTTAAATGTTTGTTAATCCGTATTATTAATCATGCATTATTGGTACTTTGTAAGGAGTTATTTCACTAGATTTCTTAAACTGTATTGAAGTTCTGACATTCTTTTGATTAATGATTACCAAATATGTTACCAACTTCTTCCTTAACTAGAGCAGGTATGGGGTATACAGGGAAGTTTAAAAAGGCCATGTATTTATTAATGAAGTCAAATTTAAAGTGGCAGTATTATCTAGATATTGAATTCAGCCAGAACGCTTGCTCTGTTACCCTGTCAGATGTAATTAAAAAACCTCCGTCTTCTTAGCCCAAGACAAGAGCCTGGTATTAGCAAATGTTGATGTGACTTTTCCAGTACGCTGCCTTCTGCTGTAACACTCACAAAGTCAGTAGCTTTTCTTATGCAGAAAGAGTCTACTGGCTTATTTTTTTCTAAAAGTAACACCACCTAAAAACTATGGCAGTTGGTAGTTTTGTGAAACTTATGTAACATTGAAATATCCTTCAACTTTTAACTTTTATGTCATAAGATTATACTGGCTTAAAGTATCGGTTATTTTTAGGAGTTTGGAGTGTGGGATCGAAGCAGGACTACAGAAAGCTTTCTGTTTTGGTAGCCTTATCCATAATATAAATAATGAGGTGGATAATACTATGAAAATTTGTGCTGAGCATCATTAAATTTGAGACATATGTTGGTCACTGCACGTGCTTTATCTTACCAGAACTTTTGTTAGTCACCAGCAGAGCTCAACTGATAATGTCCCTATTAAGCAGATCTTGGACTAGAAATTGAGTAGTATGTATGCTTGAATGCGGAGGTAGCAAAACCTCGTGATGCCCAGCTGTGCACCACATCTGCATGTTGCTGAGAAGCACTGAGTGCCTCAGCTGGAATGCATGAAAGGAGCTTACAGATGTGGTGAAAGTCCCCAGGGCTCCTCCGTCACTGCAGGAGGGAGGTGAGCTCTGTGTAGCTGGGGCCTGTGTTGGCTCAGGCTCTAGGAGTTGGCACTGGTTGCTTGACAGAGCTGCCTTGGACTGCTGGCAAATTTGTATAGCTCAGGCAGTGAGCTGGCCCTGTGCAGTGTCAGAAAGGACTGGGAGCTGTATCAGCCGTATATTTGTATTTGGTGTTTTCCACTCTGGCATCAACTGTTTTGGTCAGGTGGATTACAAGGTGATGAGCTTGTGAACTTTCACATTTGCAAAAGTTCACTGTGTTAACAAGCTCAACCAGGTGTTACCTTGCATCACTTCTTGAGTTGCTTTGTTAATGAATATGCAAATAAAGCATGTGAAGTGTAACTATAGCTTCTCATCCATCTACAGTATTCTCACCTCTGGCTGGATCCAGAGGATTATGCAAATTTGTCATCACACTTCAGCAAATGTGTGAG